GGTGGAGATGTTGGAGATTTCGTTTTGGCAGAATGCCTCTGGAGAGGAATTAAAACTTGCGGTGGCAAGTTGTGCATAAAAATCGAGGATTTCGATTCATAGTATCCTTTTGGATCTTTCATGCCATAGGCCTGTAGGTTACAGACCTCATAGCTGATCTTATGATTAGAAAACAGGCGTTTTGCCTCTGGTGAAGACCAGAGCCTGCTGTAGTATGGGTTCTCAAGAACAAAGTAACGTCCGAGCTTCATTTGGTGGTCTGCGACCGATTCACAGAATTTTAAAACAGAAAGTCTCTTGGCAGAGCCTTTCTTCCACTGTGAGTACCAGCTAGACCACTGAGAATGGTCCGGTGACATAACAATAATAGTAGGTTCTTGTTCCTTGATGATCCTAAGAAGATTGGAGCGACCTTGCGGTTGCTCAAGATCTAGACCGCTACGCAAATCGACTGGCTGACCTACTCGAAGACCTGACAGGGCAGCTTTGTGACTCATGCGGGGAGATCCGCCGTAGAGTTCTAGGAAGTCAATCTTCCCAGTGCTGGTGACCTGCCAGTGACACTCTTGATGTGGAATCGTTAGGTCTGTCGACTGTAGGGAGGCATCGAAGGTGACCATGCAACTTGCGTGGTCAGAACCTTCTGACGTCAGAGTTTCCTCATCAGGCGCGAGAGGAATCTCCACATCAGATGTTATGTCATAATTTTTCCTCAGTTTTGAGATATTAACGCGGACGATGCGTGTTCCAAGATCCACACCTACCATGGATCCTCCGAGTTCGGAGATCACCTTCCTTTTAGCCAAGATCCATGTTTGGACCCAGTGGATCCAATCTTAGACTTATCTTCTGACCAGTAGAAAACCTTATCTCCCAAAGAGAAAGGTCCTTGGGTCATTGACAGTCTGGCTGCAAGATCTCTACGCAGATCATCAGATTGGCGTGCCTCTTGGTAAGCCCTGTTGGCAAGCTCCTTAATGGCTCTCGCAGTGACTTCCGTATCAGTTGGATTACCTGTCAACTGATTGGGATCAGCGTTCTCTGGTGTTATAACATCTCGAGGACGCCTTCCAAAGGCCATTTCTAAAGGAGTAACTCCTCCGTAGGTAATCGAAGAGTTTCTTGCCAAACATGCTTGGCGAACGAGGTTGCCATACTTCATGGTGATTCCGTTATACTGCGGGTCACCATCCTTCAGGATCTGAAGTATGAGCTTAATCTGATGCTTCAGCAATCTTACAGCAGCTTCGGCCCTGTTGGGCCATGGTGTTCCAGGTCCTGTTGCCACAGGCTTGATATTCTGCCGATTGTAATAAGCCTCCATTTTTGGAGTCATGAATGCTTGATCTCCAACTACAACCTTTGGGTTGATCTGAAATTTCTCAAAGTAGTCATTCATAATCGACATTGTAGTATGTTCTTCTTTATCCTGGACTACTTCGGCAGTCAACAAGTTTGTTGCTCCATCATAGAGAATAAGAAATACTAAGCGACTATCCTTGCCGGGAATTGGAAGCTCACCGTGATCTACGAAGGTGAGATCACCGAAAGTCTCTGATCTTAAACCAGAAATCTTCGCTCTCGAAGGAGCTCTCACATGTTCCTGGCAGGCTGAACACTTTTTGACCAGTTGGTCATATAGCTCGTAGATCTCCTTTGGGATCTGTAAGGCTTTTGTGCGTCGCTTGAACTGATCCGTACTCATATGACGGTGCTTAAGGTGAAGCTTATAGAGTTCTACAGGGTCCTTAAGCTTCTCATGAATCCTGCGAAGAGCAATGGGAAGAGATGGCGAAGGTTCTGCGACAATCTCTTCACCTGTAGGTGAGTCTGTACCAGGAGCCGGGTATTCTCTTGACTCAAGTGGTCTTACCTCCGTCCCGTCATCAGCTCCTGGGACCTTAGACTTCTCTTCAACAGGAGGTTTAACCGCATATTTGCGGGATTTCTTCAGAAGGTTTTTAAGACCCTTTGGAGTCTTTATCTTCGCAGGTGGGACCTCAAGTCTTTCTTCTTCTGGAGGTTCATGTGGTGCAGAGGATTCTGCAGGTTTGTCCCTAGAGCCTGATGATGGTTCCGATGGTCCAGAAGGCTCAGGAACATCACCAGATGATTCTGGTGGATCAAGTTTCTTGGCAGATGATTCTGCCGGATCATATGGAAGAGGCTTCTTTTTACCTGAAATCCTCTTCGGTGGTGGATCAGCTGCTCCCTCAGGTGCTTTGTCACAACCCTTAAGGTACGTGTGAGCCCTTTTCTGTCCGGCACAGGCTGGACAGCGACCTTCCGGTATCCTAGTATAAGGCTTATTGGCTCCTAGAGCAGTCTCCGTCGCACTGAACGACGTACCTGACTTAGGGAGATACTTCCTGGTGGAAGTAAAGCCTAGAAGGTCCAATACCAAATGGTTATTGGTACTAATCGGAAGAGGGGTTTTATACAAACCGAAAGCTTCACACGTTGCTAGGTCAGCTGTGGGACTACACTCGAGGGTCATTCTTAGATTTCTCATCTGTTCAATGGAGAACAAAATGGGAACTCTCCCCTGATCCAGAACTTCTATGGTTGTATCTCTTCTTGGAGTTGTGTTGAACCATAGAGTTACACGCTCCTTGATAAGAGCTGTTTCACTATCTGCGAAAGAGAACTTCGTGTTCGAAGGTGAAAAGGTGAAATCAATCATGCCTGGGGCATGTTGCTTCACGGCCTTGATAAGCCTGTTCACCGCATAGCGGGAACCCATAGCCCTAGTACAACCAGAGTCAAGTATGACAAAGGTAGGGCTCTTATCAAGATTGATCCGCTCTGTGAGAGCAGATAGGACGGTGTGCTGCAACGGAAACACTGCTGTTGCAGTCTCCACACCTTGCCCCTCGGATGGTTCAGAGACCTGGGGCACGTAACTCACTGATGAGTTGTACACGGGTTCTTGGTGCGCGCTCGGATCTGTGCCTCTACCTGATGATCCTGCTTGATTTCTTCTCTTCTTTCTCCGTGTCTTTCTTCGTGAGGCTTGTGATGCATAGTATGTATAAGACGTTTGATCGTCATAAGCGGCATAATTCCAACTGGAGTCAGTATAATAACTGTCCTCATACCATGAATCCCAGCTCGGTGCGGTGGAACTTTCATAGGCCTGTGGAGATCCAGTTTGGTCTCCTTGTAAGGAGGCAGACTTAGCTGTATCCTTACCTTTGCCTTTTGATTTTGTACCCTTGAAGGAGCTTCCTTTATCTCCTTTGTCCTTTCCTTTTCCTTTGCCTTTTCCACCTTTTCCTTTTTCTTTTCCTTTACCTTTACCGAAATAGCTGGAATCAGTTGGATCATGTTCTGCCTGGTTGGCTCTCCCTTTTCCGCGGTATGACCTAAAACGGCCACGTCCTTTTCGCTTGCCACCCTTTGCTCTTCCCGGTGATCCGGGACGCATTCTTGGTCTTCTTCCCTTTTTGAATCTCCTTGCAACGAAGGCTTCATGGTCGTCAACTGTCCAGAAGACAGCTTCTTCATCCTCGGCGGCAAGAAAGCCTTCCTCAAGGGTGTCTTCGTCTTGGAGCCAGAATCCATCGACTCCGTCGTATTCACCCTGATCGAGGATGAGGAAGTTTCGACCTCCGCGTTTGCGGCGTTGGTCTCTCCTTCCATGGCGGTCCTTCTTGTGAGAAGAGTGCCGAATGTTGGGATCCTGCAGACCAGTTCTGGTCGTTGAAAACTGATCGAACATGGTCTGCCGTACCACAGGGTACGTATAGGTCTCAATTCGGTGACCTTGGTTGGTCAATGCTGTTACCAACCTCTCACGTTGCATCTCATTTAGGTCGGACTGCACTAGGAAGAGAAGAGCTAGGAGATTATCATTTAGAGGAAACGCTCTTCGATGATTATCAAGGCGTTCCTTGTTCCATGTTTCGAAGAAACGTGCGGCGTATGTGTCTCTCTCGGTTGCATCCTGTAGGCGCAAGAAGGTTTGATCTGCCTGCACAGCCTGCATGAAATCTGGATGGGCATCTTCCAGAGCTATCTCTGGTAAGAGATCCATCCATGAGTTTTTCACGCGCTGTAGCACGATCTCAAACTTAGCAATCCAAGTCACAAAGTCTTGGTTGCCCTTCCATGCCTTGAATAGGCCGAGGAAACGCCACAGGAAAACATACTGTTCTCCTTTCACGAAAAATGGACGCATCTTCTTCTTGAAGTAATCTACTCCATCTGGGGCTGCAAGCCTTTCTCGGTTAAGTGATTCTTTTTGTACTGCGGCCAATCCGGAGAGCCTCGTCTTGAGAGACGGACCTCTTTTGGTGTCATCCAGCGTTGTTATGTCGCACCAGTCGTCAATCAACTGTTCATACTCAAACCACGAGGTGGTGCCATCATAGGCAGGCGCGATCTTGGGCGTTATGCCTAATGATGCAAGCATGCGGTCAGATGTTGCATATGACTGTGCGACATAAGTAGCTGGACCTTGGGAGGTCTCTTCGTTCTCATATCCCCCGGAGGATTGGGAACTGCCGTCGGCTTCGCTATGCGAGCTCGACATTGTGCTGCCTCTTATCCGCTTGGTTAAGCGTTCGGCGAGGCCGACCGCTGTAGCGGACTTTGTGAGGCGGGCGGCCCTTTCCGGGCTCCGCTACCAGAAAACTGTGCCGATACACCCCCAAGGGATACTCCTTGTGAGGAGGTGTATGACCAGTTATTCCCTAAGGATCAAAGGGCAGCGCCCTGCACACGGACAGTAGTTGTTTTGTCTTGCTACGCAAGGAGAGCTTGTCTTGTCTCAATATGGTAAAACCACTGTGAGCCAATGGGCAGCGGAATGTATATGTATGAGCATGCAGCCATTGCTGTAGGTACCTGTTAGAGCTACCCCTTTAGAGGTTTATGGTTTCACCCCCCCCCTCCACCCCCCTTACCCATTCTCCTCGCACTTCGTATCAACAACCGTGTAAAGGTTGGGATCGACTGCCTGCCGCTACACAGCCGAGGCGGGCGGCGTAGCGTTAAAATTAGTCGAAACTCTTGCAGATGCTCTCTTGAGAATTCTTTTTTTGGGTCTGCGCCCGATCCTGAGGAAGGACAGGGAAGGGGGGGTGGGGGCAGGGGCACGGGAGCTGGCTGCGGGAGGCCAATTTGCTGGGTTGCCGTCGCGCTTCCTGTTGCCAGGTGATCTCCCATGATGCTGTTTGGTGAACGATCATGCCGCAGCACCTATGTCGTTTTGTCCAGCCCAAGCCGATGGGGGGATGCAGCACAAAAAGCGAGTATCGAGCATACACCCAAAGCCCAATCCTCTCCAGCACGGAGAACTGGTGGCCCTTTGGTCGAGGCTTCTCCACCTTTGCTGCGGAGACCTTCCGCACACAACGGCTGAGTTCAGACAGAGCTCGCTGTCCGACGTGACTGGCCTTATCCAAGTTGGGCACCACCTCGTCCGCACGAAGTCTCTCCGGCAGCTTCACCGTGTGCTGGTCCAAAAGCTCCACCTGACGACAATAAGCCGCAGCAATGACCTCCTCACTGCCAGAAACACCTGAGGCACGTGGTAGATCAGGCGCAGCCTGTAGTCCGGCTCCTCCGCCACCTGCTGAGATTCTCCAGTTGTGGGGCTTCTGCCACTTCTTCACTGTTGAGCAGATCGTTCGAGACGGCGCACGGGATTGTCGAAGAGCTCTAGCTTCTTGAGGAATGGAAATCTGCGCAGGTAATGTGCATCACATGAATTGAAGTAGAAGATGTGGTCTTAACCCCACGCCTCGACAGCAGCGCTAGCTGCTTATCTAGATTTCGAAGCTGATTTCCACTGGCCAGCAACACCTGCCCCAAAACATCGTCGACATGGTCCTACATGAGTTAAGTCTACCAGCTCACCCTTAAGAACTTGAAGGTTTTGAGGCCAGCCAAGGACACCAGTCGGTTGTTCTGAATGTAAACCTGCATGCGAAGTCGCGTGCACTACACGCGCCGGGACAAGTTTGGCAAATCGCTGCACAAGACCCGACTCTCGCCTCCCGAATGCGGAAGTTCGTCTCGAGGTTTTCCACACGGGACAGCCGATTTCCCTGAAACCTCCGTTCAGACGCAGAGGCAAGCGACCCAATCCATCGGCCACTTCCACGCAGCGCTAAGCTTTCCACCAAACGACTTCCAGCGAACCTGACAAGTGAGGATTCGTGCGGGGAAGGGACATATCGTACCCGTGCAGCTTCCAAGCTGACTGTCTGGGATGCGCACTGAAATGTTCGAACTTCTTCGAGATGGACTCTGCCCCTTTGTTGGCCAGGTGAACCTGCTGAGGAAGCGTCTGGTCCAACCTTTCAACACTGGGTGGCTAGGCGAGTGAGCACAGCGCCTCAGTGCATTCGGAAGCATACTTGCGATTCACTTTCGCCTCGAGGCCACAGGAAGAAAAGAAGTGTCAGGATGTGGGCACGGCATGCAGGTCAGGAACCGTTCAGCGAAGCTGGCAATCGAAATTAAGCCGAGATGCAATGCATTGGTAGGGATCCAACTCCATCCACTCCTGGGCGTTGCAGTCTGAATCGACCCTTTCCTTGTACGAGCCCTTTCCCGCATTCGACGAGTCTGAGCCGATGTCCAAAGCTTCCGAAGCGGAGATGCCACTCACGCTGCAAGATGGCACCGCACAGCCATGAAACGCAAGGCGTGCAGCTCTGCAAATTGATGACCACACTGCTGGTACTGGGGCGCGTTAGCTTTGGTTGCAGCATTCCTCCTGCATAGATCTGAACGTGAGAGCCACGGTTGAGAAGGAGGCATGGGCCACGGCGAAGAGGCGGCATCTGAAACGTCAGAGAACGAGGCAGGGCACGCACCAGGTGACCCATGTCGACGACCCCCAAGTAAAGCAAACTGATGCCTACAGTCCCCTTCCATGGTAAGTATGATGGCTTTTCTTTTCGCGAGATCCCAAGCTGCTGAGGGCCGTTGACTCCAACGGTCGCTTTTTGGTCGTCCTGCTTCGCCACGAGATCATAAGAAGTGCTCGAATGCTGTTGCCGTCAAACTCCGTTCATTCTGCAAGCCCACAAGACCCAGGGGCGCACCTTTTCGACATGTCGTTACCGGCGACCTGTCGGCAACTGACTCGGGAGCCTAAAGCCCCGGAACCGGCAACTTGGCGCCCTGAAATTCAATCACCTGAACACTCTGCATCCTAGTGCACCCTGTTCTGCCGGCCCTCATAACCAGAAGCCCGCAGATGTTGAGATCCGGAACGATGGGGGTCACTGGCGGTTCTAATTTTCCACTCCTCGCGCGCTTTTCAGATGGTCGGAAGCCAAGCTGTGGGTTGGCACGATCGATACCCCCCGAAAACAGACCGGGCTTGGTCCTTACAGATCGGCACATGAGACGAATTGATTATCAGCCATCAGCTTGCAAACCCTTCTTGTGCACTTAATCCCCCGCATCGCTTCTGTTCAGCCGTCACTACTAGTCACGACTCGTTCCAGCACGCTCAACATGTCCTCGTGTTAGTTGCACCTGTCACGAGAACCTGCAGGGAAGCGACGGACAGTTTTCTCTCTGAGATTTTTGTTGCACGGATGTGCTGGCTACAGCGACACGTACCAGCAAACTCAACACTTCGTCACTCAATGGTCATTTGCACTTGTTGAACCTCGCACCATCGCGGTCCTGACTGATTGTCTGGCCTAGATCTCTGTTAGGATGTTGCAGGGCGAGAAGTTTCGATTCATTTGGAGTGTATACAGCTTTGGAGTGAAGGTTTACAATCACTTCTCAACCCAGCCCTGTCCAGGAGCCACCATAGCACAACCAACGACGCACGTGCAGATCGAACGCACAGAGGCGCCGATGTTCCCATGACTCTACAACGCCAACAGCTCCTGCTCCTTGCTCTAGCCGCGGCAAACCACCAGCTTGGTCCGGTCGTCGCGCTGCCCTTTGCATCCCCTCTCGGGCATCGCAGACCCGCTACAACACGGCTCGCGTGGACCCTGTGGCATTCCGGCCAAGACGCGCTACGACGCGTTCTTTGTCAACTGTGGGATCGTCCTTTACCTTGCCGCCACCCGGACCTGCAGCGACGTGCCTCTTCTGCGAAATGACGGCAGCAGAAATCAGCAATAAGAAGTTCTCGAGGGACGTTTTGAAAAGCAGGAATGTGCATGAACTGCATGCCATCGCGGGGAGAAGCCGATAGCTGCAAGAACGGAGCATTTCCTGCTGTCTCCCACAAATCGTCTTGCCGAACGCTTGCGAATGCTTAACGCACGCTGCGCGAGTCATTCGGTGGGCAACCTGAGCCCCAGACCTTCAAGCGAGAACCCTGCCTTCGCTGCGAATTCGGAAGAAAACTCATTTAGACTCCCAAGTCCCAGCTCAGTGCCTTCTCTCAGCCTTTCGTTGAGGACGCAACTCTACGAATGTCTTCTTACTATAACTTCAACATTCTCCCTTCTCCGTCACTGCCAAGAGACCCTTCAGTTGTTCTAGTGAACTCTAAACCTTCGGACCCTCGATCTCAAGCTTGACTTTTTGGCACTCGGGAGGACCCCGGGCCGGGGCCGGGCCTGGCCCTCGGCTTCAGACGGCCTCGCACTGGCGGCTAAGGAGGGAGAGACGGCGTCGCCGTGTCGCCGCGTGGCGCTGGGAGGACTGAGAGACTGAGCTTCCTGCCGCGAAAGGCTGTTCAAGGACGCCAGGCCCCAACCTCCACCACAGTACTGGTACGTGTGCTCTCTGCTGCTTCGTCACTTCGCGAGTTGCCTTGTGCTCGCAGGTGCCTCCGTGCAAAACCGCTGCAGATGAAGGAAAGAAGGAAGGGAGTTGGAAGGAACAGCGACAGGAGTGCCTGCTCAAGGACGCCACGGGTGCCTTTCGCTGCTTGAAGCCCTGAGCAGCGAGGAGCTGCGGCTGGGCAAAGCTGTACTCCCGAGCAGCCTCCATGCCGTTCTTCAAACGATCCAAGAGGCTCTGGCCTGTCTGCGCATCAGCATGTCTCAGCTGCAAGTAGCTGCTTGGCAGCTTGCAGTACCCCCCGGGCCCCCCAACACCAGACAGACGGAGAACCACCATCCTGTCCATGGGGAAATCACGGTTCCCGCCCTGCTTCTGACTGGTGCGGTCCTGGTCCATATGCTGCAGCACGGCAACTGGCACCTCAAGCCTTAGCTGCTTTAGCACCGCCTGCTGCGTGTCTTGGGGTATTCGGGTAGGCGACGGTGGCAACGAGGCTGCCCGCTGGTCGACCTCCTCGGAAAGAGAACAGAGCAAGAACGGATGCAATCCCACGGAAGGAAAGCTGCATCTGGAGAGCTGCCAACAGGGCGACGTACTTTGCAAGTTTCTGGCTGAGGGCCTCATGACACCAGGGATCACAGCAAGCTTATTTGCAGGGACGGTGCATGACGGTGCCTCATCTGCTTCACCTTGCTCAAGTGAGTCCAGAATGTCTGTGATCACTCTCAGGAGCCTCGTAGGCTTCGTCGCGAGCACAGCGACATCTCAAAGACAGCAACAGTTACTGGGCCTCGAGCTGCTGTAGCGACACCTGGGTTTCGCTGAAGCACATCTAAAGCACTTTGCACTTGCCATGAAACTGTTTGCAGATCTCCGTGATGCCTGCAGCTTGTCACATGGCTCCGCAGGGACTGCAGCGACCGCACTTGCTTCTGCGGCACGGGATGATTCCGACATTATCGACCACTCTCGACTAAACACACTTATACAGGCAGTTCCTGTACCATCTTATAATTCAATCTGACGCTCGTACTGCAATGGCACACAACCCTTACTTCGAGCGGCGTATGACCATGTGCAACCGTGTGAATCAACTGAGTCTCCATGAAATTCCTGATTGAAGCCTGCATCGGCGACGAGTTCACCCGCGACAGCAGGACATCTTGAAGAGCATGCGACGACGTCAGTATGGGTAACTTTGTCTCACGGCCGGTCGATAAAAGGATTCGTCGGTCGTTCTCCGTCGGCACTTGTGGCCGGAAGGAATGGATTTGTGGGAGGTTTCCGGGTCCTCCCAGTGCAGCATGTTGACGGGCTACTAGGGCACACTGCACTCGTCCATGCCTTTGCGCCGGAAGCGTCGCAAATGCGGCCGGCATGTTTGCCTGGAGATCGACAGAGCGGAACTGGATTCATACGCAGATTCAGCCGGGCGCCCCGCAGATCGCAGTGCATGTGCGGCATGGGCTGACCATGGGCGACGCCGCTCGGGCTGCTCAACCGCATCCCGACCACCTGCAGATGTACAAGGCTGCAGGTGGGTTGGATTTTGAGTTGGCTTCAGTCGCCTTGGTCGCCGAAAACTGTCCATCCAGGGCGTGATGGACTTGGGCTCGACAGAACAGTCACAGGGCCTGGACAGAGCAAGAAAGTGCAAACACCTCCCTTCACCATCTCCCCGCTACAGCCACCCAATAGCCGCTACTCCAGCCTGCAGCGTTCGGCGATCCCGGCACAGAGTTTGCCTAAGCAGGCATTTGATCCATCCGTAGCTCTGGGTGAGAAATTTGCAGAAACTCTTGCGCTTCAAGGAGCCGCTTTGCAATCCGGCTGAGAGATCTGATCTATGCGGACCTCAGGTGTCGAAATCCGAAGACGCCGTGCAAGAGGCCGTCACTACTTGCCCACAGAGACGCTGTCGGCTTTGGACAGTCCTTGCCGGCATCCTGCAGTTTTACCTGCTGCATGCGGCATCACACGATCCTGCCTTCAATTTGCCAAGCTGAGCCCGAAGCTGCACAAGATGGCCCCTGCTGGAATGGATTCGCCTGACGTGACAAAGCGAACAGCTGCCGCCACCAGTAGCATCCGAAACCCGAAAGCGGAGACGACGGCGGACCCTCTCCAAAGCCGCCCAGGCGAAGGGAGGAACCTCCACACCTGCGCGACGTGCAGCGTGTTGCGAAGTGACGCAGACGGGTTTCGAGTTCGTCTCCACCGGCAGAACGGCCTATGGAGAGGTCTTCCTTGTCGGCTCTGACCAGATCGAGGGTGCCGAAGCCGTGCGCCAGCCACAGCACGCCCTCTGCCTGCAGCCCGCAGCAGCCCGCAGCAGCCCGCCGCAGCCCGGAGACGCAAGTTTGCAGTCTGCGCCTCTGTCTGCGCCACGGCTCTCTTGCGAAGGTCTGCCACACCTCATGATCAAGATCCCATCGCGTCGCGGCAGAGAGGGCTACGAATCGGAAGTCTTGTAGCCAAGTATATGGCGAAGGTCCAAACGAAGCGGTAATGCCTCAATGTCACAGATGGGAAATATGTCCGGGCGAAGTTTGTGTCGACTGCCCTAAGTAAGACCCTTGCGGCAAGCTTGTCTTGGCGGGGTGCCTCTTCAGAAAGCGCTTCGAAGCTGGCAAAGGAGACGCTACTTGGTAGCTGAGGGTCCAGCATACAGACCAACTGCGCAAAGACCACCACCGCCTGACACCTCGGCGCCAGCATGGCCAGCGACCGGCATCCTTTGAAGAGTCCGGTCCTGCGGCCTGCGGCTTCTGCCTTCTGTCAGACTCTGAGTCTCCGACTCCTTGCGGATAAAAGCGCAGGAAAAGTGGGCCTTGTCCTCCAAGCCTCTCAGGCTGTCTGTGAGCGCTGCTGCACTGGCAAGATGTCAAGGTCGGAACCGGAATTCTGGTGAATCCATCCAGATGCCCTTTGCATCGCTGGAATTCATGGCCAAATACCTGAGACCAGGGCCAAAGCCAAAGCCAAGGGGAGCCGCCTTGCGCTTAGAGGAGCACTCGACGCGTTGATGTGCCCGTGGCACCATCCACTCATGGCTGATGCCCTGACCTCGGCGCCAGCATCTACAAGCCGGAGGACTCCTTCAAGGAACAAGCCTCGCCGAGTCGCAACACACAACTGAGACAAGCACGCTGAAGTTCGTGCAAAGCTTTGGTCAATCTCGCGCTCTCAGACTCCAGCCTCAGCAGGGCGAGACTAGCGAGACTACAAGCCGGTCAGCTTACGAAAAAGCCAAGGCTCCAGCGCCTGAACTGACTTGCGCTGAGAAGCCTGAGGGGCAGCGAATTGCAGCTTCGGCACAATCAAAAAGTCTCCTCAGCATTCCGGTGTCAATGTGGCCTGGATCTCGTGTCGAATCTCTTGGACCTGCAAGCAACTTGAGAGGGCACAGCTGCTGCATTGACCCTCACTCCGGTCCAACACTTTCAAGTGCTGACAGCGTGTGAAATAACCATCTGGGTCGCCTCTGGTCTCCAGGCTGCGTCCAGCGCCCCCGTTGCCTGGCACAAGCACCCTGCCATCTTCTCCTCTCTCTCTCGCCTCTATATCAGTCTCTCTGCATAAATTCGCTTTGCCTTCTTCGCTTCTTCGACCGCCTCCTGCACAGTGCAGCAGTGCAGCACAGTGACATCGTTGCAGTGCGCAGCTCGTCTCGCGCGCGATCTCAGCCGCGCTGCGCCTCCATGAGGCGCCGGGAAGTCTTCTCGAGCTCAGCCCTTTGGCTCCCGAGAAGATCCATACACTCCGAGTGGCCTCAACGCAGCGCACACCCGCAGCGCAGCGCAGCGCAGACGCAGCGCCGCAGCGCAGACGCAGTCTTAAGCACAGCCATCCAAGCGCCGAGCGCAGCTTCATGGCGCTGCCGAAGTCCGTGCGCAGCTCGCCGATGGACGTCTCGGCGGCCTTACGAAACTAAAAAACGCATCCGCCGGTTCCCCGGCGCCCTTCGCCAGCGAGGAGGCCTCCACTCGGCCGTTCAGGACCTCAGCCTGGGGCGTAGAAAGGAAGACAAGCCGTGGCGCACAGGGCCAAAAGCAATGTAGGTCTTGCAGTCTTGCACATGCACAGTTGGTACTCTGGAGTGTTGGTGAGCTTCTCGGCTTCACGCAGCAAGGACGACGAGAGGTCAAGAGCTTCCAATACGAGATGAGGCCGATATCTTCGGAGAAGACAATGGCATGCATGCTTGATCCCTGGGGCATGCCGTTGTGTCTGGAAGAGAATACAAAATTCAGGTCCGACAGTGCTGAGGTCAATGGCTTTAGAGGCTTTGGCGTATTCTGAGAGCCTTCCGCGGCATTCGTACTAAAACCGCTGGCTGCGTCTTTGTGCAGCAAGTCTTGCAGCCCTTCTTAGACTTTCCAGATGTCTGGAAAGTAGAAAGAGACCTGGAAGCAAGACTCTCGCGCAAAGACATGCCTAAGCCGAAACACTGCGATTGCTCTCCCTCTCTCTCTCTCTCTCTCTCTTTGCTTTGCTTGGGGTGTAGGACGTGTCTCTCTCTCTCTCTCTCTCTCTCTCAAGTGTTGCAGCACTTTCGCAGTGCGAGGCGTGAGGCGTGAGCCACGGCGGACAGTTCGGAGGATGTCTTGTCGTATCTGGAGAGACCTGGGCAGCAACGACGCATGGACGCACATCCAGCAGGTCTGCCTTTTTTCTGAGAGCGGCTGTCAGCGAACTTCTCGGCGAAGAGTTCTTGCAGAATCTCGCGGCCACGAGCTCCCGGCATGTCAAAGTACTGGCTCAGTCCGGGCCTGTCTCTGCTGAGCGCATTCCGCCCGATCAGTCCAGGAGGCCTCCCAGGTCAGTATCGTCTTGGCCGCTCAGCTGCGCTCCGCACTGTGCCTCGGAGAGCTCAGACAGGGCCTCCGAATTCCGCCGGAAGGCCTCCTGTGTGGCCTCGGCTTGGCCTGCCCAAGGGTTTTTAAAGCATCGGGCGCTCTGACTTCTGGTTTGCAGAGGGCCTGCGACGGCCTTCAGCCGCTGGCTCTCTGCCTGGAGCTGCTCCTGGCACTGCTCGGAGCTGCGAGCAAGGCGAAGGCGCCGCCTCCCCGACCTCCAGGTTTTCGATCTTTGGGCCAAGAGCATCAGCGACCTCGAGGCGACGGCCAAAGACGTGAAACATGGCTATGTCGGCCATAGGCTTAGGTTCGCTCTTCCAGCTTCAAAGAAGCCAGACGCTGATGCAAGGCAGCATGATATTCGGCGCCTGTCTCCTTCACCTCGGCACTTCAAAAGCGACACGAAATCGTTGTTGGGATCTGTTGGCTGGGTGCCTCCAGAATCTCGCTTTCGGAAGCTTCCAGGCGCAGTGAGAAAGTTTCCGCCACGGCCGCAGCATCCTCCCGGCCACGGTTCTGTAGATTCTGAAGTCCATGCAGGCCCATCTTCTCTGCTACGCCTCGGCACCTTTGACCATAGCCACTGCGGCTTCCGCCTGGTGAGCAGAAGGGTCTGGGAAAGCTGGACAGAAGCAGAAGCCAATGGCTGCTCCACACAGCTCTCATCTCCGCATCCGCCTGCGAGCCCATCTCGGCGGCTGCTGCTTCCAGTGACGAGCGTTGGCGCTCCGCCTGGCAGCCGGTCACGACGATTCGCGACGTCGGGTTGGGCTTGGGTTTACAGCTTCGGGTCTAGGCTTGACAGGTTTTGCTTGGGGGCCCTGATCCTCAAAAAGACCTGGGCTTAGGCTTCTTGAGGGCTCACTTTAAGCACAGGGCGAAGGCTCAGGGTTTAGGTCCGCCTCCTTCAGCAGTTGGCGCCTCAGCTCTGCCAGCTTCGAAGCCGCGGCATCGGCCACCTGCAAGAAGATACGCACCGTACACACGCGCGGGGGAAGGTGAGCCTGGCCGGCTGGCCTCTCTTGCCACTTCCGCTGCGGCATTTCGTGCTGCGGCTTCCGCGGCGACGACGAGACGGAGTCCCAGCTTCTCCAACCTGAGAGCACAGGCCGGTGCGTTGTTGGCTTCCCATGGGCCCTTGGACGCTGGCTTCGAGGAACTCGCGTCCTCACGCTCTTCCTCCCGCAGCTCAAGCTCGGCTCCGAAACTCTACCCAGGTTCCCTTTTTGGAACATCTCCGAGCCTTGCCAGAGGCCGTGGAAGCCGAGGAGCTCCCGCGAAGCGAGAAGCGCTGGCCGCCAGGGCCGCCGGGGCCTGCAGCCTGAGCGGAGAGATGCGGAGACCGCGAGTCCTCTGCTTTTCTCCGGTGCCTCCGGGAGATCCTCGTCCGACACTTCCTTCCAGAACCCAGACTCTCGCAACGTGTGCGTGTGTGCATGCGCGTGTGGCTCTGGCTGTGCCTCGGCGAAGTCTCGCAACTCGCCATCCAGCTCCGGCCCGTCAAGCTGCTCATCACCTGCGTCAATCCGCTCCACGTTGACATGAGCATTCACTTGACCCAGCTTCAAAGGCCTTCTCGGCTGCGAAAACGGCATGCCCTCAGCAACCGGCGTTGAAAATGGAGGATTGCTGTCAAGGTGCGGAGCAGATAACAAATCGATGAGCCGACGACCTTCGAGGTTGAGCCGCTAGCGCTGCAGCGGCTGCTGAGGCACTCCGCTCAACTCGGAGAAATGCCTCATTGCGCACACGTTGCACCTCTCTCAACCAGTCAAGCCTCTGACAAGCCCGCCTCCGACATGGCCCTGTGAACCTGAGATCTGCAACTTCCACACGCGCTGTGTGAAAGCAGGAGGCATGCACCTCTTACCTGGCCTCGACAGAGAAGCCACCGTCCGCGAAGCGCATTCCCTGGCGGTACCCGCTTGGCCGACACAGGGAAACCACCGACGCCACAAGCTCTTTCGCTGAACACCATATTTTGTTGTCAGCCAGCAATGGCAACTCCCACACGCAAACTGACAGCCACCGGCAGTAGTGTTGCCTCTCGCAACGTTCCGGTGGCAAGATCTATGTACACCGTCGAACTACACTTGCAGAATGATGGGATGTGTTGGCACATCCTGCGCGGCCATCTTGCAGGCATCAGGTCGTGTGCCCTTGTATGCCTCGCAAACCTGGGGCGGAATCTTCAAGGAGGAGACAGTCTCTCACAAAGATTGTACAGCTCAGACAAGCTCATACAGCGACGACGCGCATGCGGCCGCGAATGCCAAGAGGCCGTCCGCAACAAATTGTCGGGCTGGTTGACAGGCTGTCCGTTCACCACAAGATAGGGCACGCCTAGTTGGCGGGCATTGCGGGCGAAAGGTTGTTCAGAGTTAGGATTGCCTTCGTCTCTTGCTGTCGTGGACCAGAGGAGTCTTGCAGTTTATGGCTTATGGATGTTGAAAGATTTGAAAGCCTCGCTTTGAGGTTGAGGCCTCTGCCAGCGAACAACCAATTTCCAGATGCAATAGATTTCTAATCAACCGGCACCCCATGCGCAAAAGCCGGCTTGCCTGGGTGCTCTGGCGTCGCTTTTGCCTGTGCGATGACGGCGGAATCACCCTCCGAGCCGGAAAAGCCTTGACATAATTGACAAATCAGAGGGTTCAACGCACATGCACAGCTCAAAGCGACTGCGTTGCAAAATGAGCAAGTCTTAAGACCGCTGCAATGGAAAACAGCGGCTTTGTCAATCTGGTTGGCATCTGCACAGGCTGAAACCGTCTCCTCCGCAACTTCGGGACGCTTGACACTTACGGGCTCAGTGCTACCAGCCACACATGCTCGCAGGCAGCACTTTTGCAACAAATGCCTTGGAGAACGTGTCATACTTTGCCTCGACGCCTGAGGATCATCCCGTGCTTTCATAATGGATCGATGGTCGGCACGCACATGCGATCTTGCAAGACATTGCAAGACTTTTCCAAGGCATGGACAGTGGGCGAAGGACATAAACTGCAGCACATGCTCGGCAGCGACTTGCTTCGCACAGGCCAGGTACCGGTTTGCATCACACTCTTGGCTGCCATGCTGGCAAACAAGTGCCCCGGTGAAGCAATCCTGCAGGCAAGTATGTGTTCCCGGCATCGTAAAGCACACCGATGCATAGAGGGGCATCCTTCGCAGGCTGGGACGCTCCAGCACCGCAGTTCTTGTTGAAGCACTTTCGCGCCGTCATGTCCTGGGCGTCCGCGACAGTGGTGACAGTCTTGGGATGTTGGTCGACTCAAAAAATAACGGCAACAAGGCCGGCTGCGTAGGAGCCATCATAGTCGGAAGCCAAGTGTCATACTCGCCTGCTCCCTTGCATTCGCTTGTGACGAAATATGCATTACCGAAGGGATAGAACTCGAAGTCCTTGCGAACAACCCGTAACACACGCAAAGTACAGATATCCAACCAGCGGCCCTCGAGCCCTGAAGCTCAAAGTAAGTGGTGACTGTCCATGATGGCCGCTACACTCGGTGTCGACAAGGTCTTGTTGACCTAAGGATCATCAGAACGCATCCTTCTTTGAACAATCGTGTTCGCTTTTCCTGAGGCGGACACCGGTCCGGCAATGGCTTCTCGGCAAAATGGACAGCCAGCTTCCGCAAAGAACTCGACCTTCACCTCGTCCACGATTTCATGTCAAGACCCCAAGAGGCGGGTAACGAGGTATCTGTCGGTCTGTTGCGCCTTGGGCGCATCTTCCGCACTGGCCGTGGCCGAGATGACAGCGAGGCACAGAAGCTTCAACGCCATGGCGAACTACGCAAGAAAGTCAGCGGGCGCAATGGACAATAGCAGCTGCGCAGAGCTGCGTCCTCGTGTCCTCGTGGAGCATTCGATGCAAGCGTGGGCTTTCGCAAAGCCGAACCTCCTCCACTCTAACCAGGCGGCTGTCCAGCCTTGCCGACACGGTCCGTGACTTTCTGCTTTGGAATGCTTTGTCACGACATCCTCTTGGCCTCTTGGGCCTGGACATTTCCAGCCGCCGATTGGTTTCAGAATGCAGGCCTTCCAGCCTCACATCCTTGGCATTGCGATCCGTGGTGCGCTGCGTCCAACCCCTGATACAAGATACGGTTCATCTCATTGCTCCTGCCCTTGCATGACAGTAGAGCTTGGTGACAATCTGTCTGGCACAAACTTCACTTTTGGCAGGTGCAGCCATGACGGCCCCATAGCACCACTTAACACGCAATTTCCCGTCTTGCGATCATAAGACCGTGTACATGTGTATGTATGTATGTATGTATGCATGCATGTCTGTATGTATCATGTAGGTATAATGTATGTATTTCTTATTCATGCATGTATGCATGCTCTGGAGCCGTGGACCCACCTTGGAAACGTAAAGCTCCCAACTTGGAACTTCAGACAAAGGCTTGTCCCGCCAGATTCCCACCCTGGCCGTCTTCAAGGCTCCAGAACTGCAAGTCGTTGGACCGGGGATCCAGATGTTAAGGCTTCAAAGTTAGAGCTTCCGACGGTATGGCCAGACACGCCATGTGGTCTTGGGTGAGTGATTGCAAAAGCTTTTTCTTGAGGGCGACAGCTTTTCAACCTGCAAATTTCTATCACTCCTTCATTCTACTCGGGCCACTCGGCCTTTATTGCTTGGAGAGCCAGACACAGCAGCCTTGTTGTTCTGCTTTCCGCAGCAATACAAGGTCTCAGATGGACACGTGACAGATCCTGGGATAGGGAAAGCCAATCGCGGACAATCAACAAAACACCTCCCAAGAGTTGTGCCGCACCCACGGTGAATAGCCGGGCTCGGCAAACGGTCGGGCAGCTAAACCTTGTTTCTCGAGCTCAAGGCACCTCGTCCGGAAGCTTCGTCTGAAGTGCTTTCGACAGCATGCTAACCCTGATGGAATGCACAACAACAGCAGATGACATGGCTTTGGGGCCACTGCTGTCTAGATTCACACGCGGCCTGACAGCAGATGGTGTTGCCGGCGCCATTTTGCAAATTGTATGATTCTCCCCCACCGTTTTGCTAGAGCTCCTTCCTCTTAGATCCTGAATGGATGTATCGTCGCAATGGACTTGGCATGCCTCCCGGCTGAATGTCGCATTCGTAGCACAAACATGGTACTAAACATGACTGGAGATACTTCCTTGCCGGATCCTAGCTGTAATCTGCGTCGTGGTAAGACAACTCCAGCAAGGAAAGGATTTGGACTTTGCTCATGATCATGTTCGGGATGGTACAGCTCTGTTGCTCCAAACACCTCCTTTGCAAACCCGTTTGTTTCTTGTTCTCACTGAGCCCGACGGGAGTTTGCCTCTTGGTAGTTCATCATCGGAAATGCATGCCTTCCGAAGCCTAGAAAACTTATACTCACCAAAACCACTGGCCATTAACCTTATCCGATACATTCCCGGGTGCAGCTACTGGTGTCGCTGGGCGGGGCAACATCAGCCAAAGGCTATTGCAGGAAGCCACGCCAGTCTCAGGATCGCACGATGCTGCTGTTGAAGTTGCCCAAGAAGTCCTCCCAGAACATGGTCCATCCTTCCTACCACTGCCTACAGTCGTCCGCAGCAACTGCAACCAGTACATGTCGCGGACATGGCACCACTGCGCTCCTGCCACGCTGCACTTTCATCTAGCTGTCTCCTCAACAGACTTCTCTCGACCTGATCAAACGGATCGTTTTCGCCTTCTGATGATCCGCTCTCGGGCCTCTTCGTTGCTTCGGCGAAGAGCTTGCACTTCCTCACCCTTGAAACGTGCACAGGAGTCCCGCAGCGAGCGCCTTGGAAGAAAACAGCAGGAGACAAACGCAAATCGAGACGAGTGCTTCTGAATGCTTCTGAGGCCGCCGACAGCTCCCGGGCAAAGTCCCAGGTTCGGTCCTGAGCAAATCGCACTCGACAAGGGCATCCAGTTTTTTCAGACTTGGTTACGAGCTCGGGCCATGGAGCGCGAGCCATCAAGCTCCGGTGACCTGCTCGTGCAATCCCTCGCGCAGCGGGCGAAGTCCAAATCACATGAAGTTCTCCCAGACCCAAGGTCCTGGCTCCATCGCTCAGCCGAGGTGGAACATTTACGCCGTCTGGCTTTAGCTGTGTCAGTTGCCTGTTCAATCCTGTCCTGCTCACGGCGTGCTGTGCAGGGTCGGGGTCGGTCTAATGCGAATGCCCACAACAATGACTGATGCACGGCAGTGCCACGTGCCTTCTACAGTATACAGACATCAGAACTTGTTCAAGCAGCTGCTGATTAGGTGGCAACAGCACATATGCTCACCGAATTTCTGCGAGTCTTCCACATGTGTGATGTCTCGGTTTTTGACTCGAGCACACAAGGCAGGCAAAGGTAAAGGCGTCGTCACACCAATTCCGGCCGCCAGAGTTAGGATAGGGATCCGGCTGTACAGCTCATTGTCCGAATTTGTCTTGCTTGAATTCTCAACAGACTCCAGGCGCATATGGCCCACATAAGCCTCCCTCGGTAGTGATGATGTGACCTTCGTAGCAGCGGTGCCTCAATCCGAACAGCAATGCCACAAGCACAAACAGAACGACGGACGGACGGACGGACAGATGAGGGAGGGAGAGATGGGGAGAGGGAGAGATGTCTGAGCAGCAAGCGCATTCGCCGCCATGTCGTTGGCGGCGCTCTGTGGTAACTCAGGCATAGCTGCGAAAGAACACTCCGTTCAGCCACACACTGCAAGCCAGAAAGAGCTTGCTTTGCAAGACGAGGCACACCCCAAACACCGCGCACAATGTGTCCGAAGTACTGGTCATCCTGAATCCTGCACAAGCTCCACTTTTGACACAAGGCCGATGCCTCACAGCTCCACTGATCTGTCTGAGGCGGTCCCGGCCGAGATGGTCTCGTAATGCCTGGCGAAGTCCCCAAGAGAGATCCTGCAAAGAAATGATAACGAATCTCAAAGGCAGTGGCATGTTGCCCCTTGGGCACCGGCCGTGGCCCGCCGTGGCCAAGTTCGGACATGAGCTCCATAGTCACCTCGGTAAAGCCACGGCACCTCATAAGTATAGGGAGCCTGTGAGCCTGTACTGTGAAGGCCTCCTTCTGGCTCCGGAGTCCTGCCTGCGCATCGTGATCACGTCACGCAGATAACATCCAGTCGCAAAGACTCCACTGTCACTGACTGTCACTGCAAATCTCCTGAACGTCCGGATGCTTTGAGGCATTGAAGCGAGCCTTCGTGCGCGTGAATTCCGCAGACCAGGCAATGACACCAGCATCCAGCACGCCAAGCCGGCCAAGGCGGCCAAGGCCAGGGCGCGGAGGGCGCGCAAATCCACCAAGCCCTCCCGGTCGCAGAGGCTGGCAAAAGCCTGAAAAAGGTCGGACAGGACGTCGCGTGACAAGGAACGCAGGCAAGAAGCTGTGTGAGAGGCCTTTATTGCGTACTCCCGAACAGAATGAGCGAGTCTGAACGTGGGTGAAACCTTTGCCACTTGGCCACTGAGATGCGAGCCTGGCTGGAAATCTCAGTTTTCTTTACTTAGGCTGTTCAAAACTGTCTGGAGTGCAGTGTCAGCCAATTTTCGCTGGAAGTTATCCTTCTGCACGATCGCCGACAGGTCCACATTGGAGTGCCGTGCACGGCAGAGGATCAAACTTCTTTCGGAGAAATTTCCAGCAGGAAGCATCAAAGCACCTCTCCTTCAAAGCGCATCGCTGCATCGCTAGTCACTGCGAGCTCAGTCTGAGCGGCTGGGCTGGCCGACCTGTGGAAAACATCAGAGCCGGGTGGGCCCCGGCCCGAGATGCGCACGGGTTGCAGCGCAGCAGCGCAGCTTAGTCCAACATGCCTAGAGCATCGAGAGTTCTGATGGAGCTGGGCACACAAGTCGCGCAAAATACATACAGTACATACATACTTACGCACTTACATACATCACAAATACGTACGTACGTACGAGCATACATGACAACACACATATACACACATGAACACTGACAAAGACAAGGGTGCCAGCATCCATCCTTGCAAGAGTAGTAGCTGAGTAGTACGTTTCGGAGCCAGTGCCACTGGCAGGCACTGAATTTGCTGCGAGGAAAAAGCAAGACTGCTCCCATTCGGGACAAAGGCAAGCTGTTCACAGCGAAATCTTTTTTGTTGTGATTTCAAGCCACTCAGACTCCTTGGGCATCCTGTACACAACCTCAGAAGCTGCGAGTCTTCGACTGTGATCTGTTTCGAGCAAAACGAGCAGGAACTCCTTCAATGTGGGCGTCATGTCGGTATCCTTCCGTCCAGATGGTGGCAGACGAAGCTTGCGAGCTGATTCTTCTGACGGAGATCCGGTCGGAACTACCTGAGACCACAACCACAACCACACAGAAACGGAAGATAGCAAAGTTCCTTTGGACACCTATCTGGCAATATGCTTACCTAGCTTACCGGTAGGATTCAAGCGGCCGTCCAGCTTGACACTTCCTTGCCAGCAACCAGAGATGCACCGAGGAGGCCCAAAGCGAAGATGTCGCAAGGCCGCGTCGCTCCGACGGGAAGGATGTTGACATTGATGTCAGCCTTAGTTCTCTGTGATGACATACCTTCCTTGTGAGGTGCAGTGCAGCTACTCATGGTTTCCTTTGTTCTGTAACCGGAAAGCATATGGAGCGCCTGCTCAGTTGGTTAAGCCGTTTATACCTTGCTCCTCTCTCTGAGCCTTACCAAAAGCAGTGGTCTCAGCATTGCAATCGAGTGGCTTCCATTGCCTCTTCGCTATCAATTGCTCGGGCACAGCCTAAGTCGATGACCTTCACTTGCACTGACTCGCTTTCGTATCTACCGTTGATCTGACTGACGTGCATGACCACATTCTTCGAATGGAGGTCACGGTGGGCGATCCCAACTGAATGCAGGTAAGCAATTGCAGAGGCTATCTGTGTCAAACACTGCCGTCGGCAGGCCACGTCCAGAGCTGTGGTACTCTTGTCGTGCCAGGGCAGCCACCGATTCAGCGTGCTACCGTGACATAGCTCCAAGATCATGGCAACTCCCTTGACACCTTCGTCGAGTTCATCTTCGAGAGCGTATGCCTTGACAATTCTCTCGTGCTGAAGTCCCTTCAAAAATTGGAATTCCTTGCGGATAGCATCTCCATTCGTGCCTTCCTCACGGGACAGGGATGATAGAGACAAGGCCAATCATTCGTAGCAAAGGCTCTTATCAAACGTATGCTACTTATGTATGCTTGTGGACGCTTACGGTACTGCAGGCGGCTAGCAGGCAGCACTAGCACGGGAAGAAAGCTCAACGCATCAACCCGAAGAGTCCCAATCGCCTGGCCCGTCTCAATGGAAACCTTCACTGCATATTCCTGGTCTTCCCGAATGGCGGAATGAACCAAAAAGCCGCTGTTCTGGCCGCGACCGATGACGCCTGGGGCTTGCAAAACACGTGCTCCCAAAACTTCCCAAGATGCGGCGTTAAGTTGGTTTCAGAGTTTACCCGGCCTCTGATCTTGTAACCCTTGCTTTCCAGCAACTCACGATAGCTGCGAGTATCTCCCACTTTGTCTTTCGCGGAGATGCTGAGCCCGGACTTATACATGCTGGACTGGGATCTCCTTGATAACAAGCTACTGCCGGATTTAGCACTGGCTCCACTGCTACTTTCAGAATCTGAACCAGAGCCATCATCGAACTTCTTCGCTTCGACAACGAGCTTGAAGCCCTTGGTGGTTCCCTCTTTGCCTTCGCTTGACGTCATCGCAAAGGCTGTTGGCAGAGAGTGAGAGAGGGCATCCTCATGACCCGTCATAAGCGAACTAGTTTGCTTTGAGCCAAACTGTCTGAAGATCAAATCGTGGCTCCACTTCGTCAGCCGGCTTCATACGGCAAGTTGGCTTAGCCTACAATAGAGTCAATAGAGACTAGTCTTCAACCAACGCCTCACGCACCACACCAGCGCGAGCTGGGCTGAGTGGTCCCCGAAGAACACGCCTGCGGCTGCTTCAAGAAAACTGTACAGTTTGGGATTCACAGGGGTGTTTCGCCAAGCATGGCACTTACAAGACCTTCTGAAAAAGAGGCCCCTGCAGCCAGTCATCCAGGTCAACCGTACCGTGCCCATCGACGTCCATGCCTGCTAGAGGCCCACGGTGCAGAGTGCTGGCCCATGACCCGGAGCTCCAACTTGGATCGCGGCTGCGGAGCAGCTCGACAACGTCTTCTTCGCTTGCCCCGACCCCGACCTGCAAAGCGAAAGCGGTTGGGACACGTGTCGCACTCGATGCCAAGAGCGCCAATACCCTTGAGCCTTGACAGTAAAGTTCGCCCATTAACAACTGGAAAGTGTTTCAGATGCTTGCATGGACAGTACAAGCGCGGCCTGGCTGAGTCCTTGTCGCAGCTCCTTCGGCCAGGAGACCCGCTGCTGCTACGACCCCGACTCCTCTTGTGCTCCTTGGCTCGGATGGCACGCTGCCCTTGCTCCGCCACTTGGAACCTGCAAGAGGCTTCGTGGGCCGCCACAGGAACGAGTCTTGACGTTTTGTGTTGCAGTGTTGCTGCGCGCCTCTGGCAGAGCAGCTGCACGGCTCCGGGTCCTCGGGACCGCAGTGCGCCACGAATCCGGTCCAGCAAGGCACTGGCACCTACCGCAGGGCGACATCAACTCCCTTCCTCTAGCTGCTCTAGGCTCTAGCTACTCACGCTTGGCCGCCTTGGCCTTGAACACGACCGCAAACCGGCCAACTGCGGTGCTTTTTTGGTGGTATTGCCACTGCTTGAAGGGTGAAACAGGAATCCACAGTCTGCTCTAAAGACTTCGAGCCAGCTCCGGCTCTTATTCCAGCTGCCAGCTGGCAGACTCGGTGTCGTAGGTGTAGTGCGCATCGTGAATGGGCTTCAACAGCTCGACATCATGGCCTGAGCTGCCCCCAATTCCATCCAAAGCCAAAAGATCGACGCGCCGCTATTCTGCCAAGCTCTCGACTCACCGTCACCACGACTGCGCCTGCGGGAAGGCTCTTCGGCCTCGTCTGCGAGTGGCCAAGACACTCTCTCGGAAACTGTGCAGCTTCAGATAGGCGACTGCCGAAGCAGCTGGAAGACCTCCAGAGCGCCCTCAGCCCCCAAGGCCTTGGATGAAACTCTGGCCGCGGTATGCGGTTGTTTCACGTTTAAGCTGCGCCTGACAATCGTATGGTGCCCTATGGTCCCCGCACTCGTCGCCTCATCTAGGAACAGGGCCTCCGGCTTGCCTGGATGTGGACGAAGGGGTTGGCTGTTTATGTTCAGGTCATTTTTCCTTTGCATGAGCGTTTCCACGAACTTCATCACGAACGGATAGACCAACGGTGCAACCGTGGCGGCAGCACGTAGCAAGACGCGAGCAATGGCCAATCGCTGCTGCTCACCGCCCGAGAGCAGCATTGCCTAATGCAGCTACAAGTTTCGTCTCCAATGCTACGGCACTATTCGACTTTTGGCACTCGAATCCGAGATGCCCAGTTGGCTTCGTCATGGAGCTGACGACCTGCAAGCCGAGCCGAACAATTCGAGCCTCAGATGAGTCTTTTCCGAGGGGCCTTCCAAGGTTGTGAGCCGCACGGCCTGCTGGCAAATGCAGACCAAAGCCCAAAAAAGAAACGAGGCTGTGGAAGATCTCTGCAAGCTCAGCCTCCAGGACGGCCTGCACCTCTGCATCGGTGAACTCGGTGGAACCTCTCCGGCGCTTGGAAAAGAATCTCTGGGACGTGAACGAACGTTGGGCCTTGGGCCGTAGGATCCGAGCAAGAGGGGTAGGCTACAGCCTGCTTCAGCGTGCCCTGTGGAATGTAGGACCTCAGCACGCGCATTTCTACGAAGGGCACCAAAGAAAGCCCTCGGCCATGCCAAATCATTTCGGCTGCGGGCTTCTGTGGCAGGAAGAGGGTCTTCGCCGGGAGATACACCTCCCCGCTTGCATGAGGCCTTGGCCGTGAATCCGTGACTCCCTTGCTCCCAAGCTGAAACAGAGTCAGGCCAAGTAGCCAAATTCCTGCCATCGCGCGGAAGAAGCAGCTCTTGCCAGTTCCCTCTGGTGCCGACAGCAGCACGAACCTCGCAGCTCGACAAGCCATCTGTGACGAGAGCCGACGCGAAGCAGAGGACTGAGGCCCAAACTGGCCTGGCTTGACTTCCAGATTGGCATCTTTCCACAATTGGCGCCTGGGCAGCCGAGAGACAGCCGAGGGCAGCCGTTGAAGAAGCACAGTCTGCTGGTCTGCTCGCTATGGAGTGCACTGATCGACTTTGGCCGGAAGCTGGACGTTCAGGCCGCTTACAACAGCAGCGTCGTTGTCTCCAGCCTCGGCACAGGCCGACAGGTTAATCGGCCCGAGGTGTGCTTCCACTGGGAGAGCTGCCAGCAGCCGCTTGACTTTGCACTTGGCATTACCTCTTTTTTCCATAGCCTTCAAGAAATACATGGCCGGCTCGTGGATACGTCAGAATATGTCAGAATGCAGCAGCCGTGACACCTGGGTGAAGTTCGACAGCCGATCCACGGTCGCTCGATAGCCTCGGCCACAGCGAGGCAGGGCAGGATTGTGCGGGGGACGGCTGGGCCCACCCTTGCCTCGCCTGTCAGCTCGGAGTAACTCCCCAGGAACCAATCAAAGCCGGCCTTCACAGCCCACAGCCTCCAACGGCCGGTGAGCGCGTTGGTTGCGTTGCGTGATGTTGCGTGCTTGTGTCGGGTGCCCTTTTGGGGGCCGGGCACGTCGAAGAGCATGAACATGGTTCCCAGCGTGATTTGACCCCGAAAATAGTTCGGAGCCAGAACCAGGTAGGGAAAGATGCTGGAGGTTTGGTAGTAAAACGACCTGAGAATCTTAGCAGTTATTGGAGAGACACACCAGCAACGAAAAGGTCGAGTGCCCCACACAAAGAAGCCCAGGCGCTTCGTGTAGCACATCATCATCCACCACCTTGCTTCTTGCAACATTCATACCATCCTCGGACCTCACGCATCGGCGAAGCTTAGTGCCGGGCACTCGTTCGATCCACGCGAACTTTGCTTGTAGTCGATCCTCCTCGCACGGTTCCGAACCGTAGAGAGCAATGCTCTCAGCGTTATCGCCTTGGCCGTTTCGCTTCTTTTGCGCGCACACACACACAGCCTGTACCAGAGCCGAGGCGAGGGACGGATCTGCACGATGTCGTATCGAAAGCCGGCCTCCAACGTTCTTCAACTCAAAACGAAAACAACAGCGGCCCCTGGCGGCCCCTGATGGCCCTGGCCACAGGCCGTGGCGGCCTCGTACTTCTGCAGGCCGAAGTTGATCATGATGAGCTTTTGCCCCACCTCTCAGCTGCCGAAACACCGGGCCCCCGGGCTGCCTCCTTAGGCCCTGGCAAAGTGGGCCACGACTGCTCCCACTCCAGAATAGAGAAGTGTTACGTAAAGCAGCCAGCCGGGGCAGTAGAACCTCGCTCCAAGAGCATGGCTCCAAGCAGGCATCAGCCATCAACAGCAAGCTGACGTGCGGACCATCCGAATGCATAGCTTGGCGAAAGCAAAAGAAGCATGGGCCTCAATTATGATCATCAGGAAGTTGGACAATCAAACGGAGGGGCCAGTAACATTGGGTGGCCCGCAACCTAGACAAGAGATGCGTGGCGGCGGTAACGAAGCCTGCAACACTGAGCTCGTGAATGAGTGGAACGACATAGAAGGTGCAGTCGAGATGGGCGAGCGCTGTGACCGAGAATGTGGGTAGCATATGGCAGCATTACTAGCTCCACTTCCACACCGTTTTGGCCACGAACCCGAATTACGACCAGATGACCGGAGCCCAAAAACATTGTCCCAGCACTCTCCAATGCTCAGACCGTGAAGAACGCGGCAGGGCGGCAGACGACATGCCCACGAGAATCCCACCAGATTCCCTTGCAACTTACAAGACTGGCTGCCGCACAGAGCCTGTGCCCAGCGACATCGTCTGCCTCAACGGAAGCACATGAAGCTCGACCCGGAGCCCGAGCCTGAGCAAACCGAGAAGCGGGCTCCACAAAGAGCCGCACGTCCTCCTGGATTCGCTGATCCGGGTTGTCTGGAACCTCAAAGCTCAAAGATCTTCATGGGTTCGGGGGGTTCTTCTCATGTACCACACAACAGTAAGCTCCCGGCGTCACCTTTGCCATCCAGCTGCATCGCGTAAAAGCACTTATCCTGCACGATTGGCTGACACCATGGACTGCTTGGACGAACCATCCAACCACCTTCAACCACTGCGTCAGCAACCATTGCGTCATGGAGCGTCGCCAGCGAATGGAAAGCATCAAGCCTTTCATGATCTTTCAGTCCGGGTTGGACCAGATCAGAATTCATTAAGCTGGGCTCTCGGCCGATGTACTGGCCGTAGGTGGAAAGAATAATTTTGGAGAAAGCCAAGAGGCAGAGATCCAGAATCAGCCTAGTCAGCTTCAATCGTCGCACTGCGTGTGTGAATGTACAGATCTCAAGGCCCTTAGAGTCCAGCGGGAAGAAGCGCGAGATGTTCTTCTTTTCAATGGTGTCCCAGAATTCTTTGGACCAAACCATAATGACGAGTCCTTTACACATCGCAAAACATGAGAGGAAGATACCTTCCCAAATCGGAATCTGAGGAGTGGGCCCAGTATCAGGTCAATCACACCCAACCTGTTTACTCTTGCGACTGCGGTCCCGCATACTTGGCAGCACTTGTCAGCCGAGGGGCACGGAGATAGCTGCCAAGTAGGTCCAGGCTGTCCGCCGTTCGTGGCCGAAGTAGAATGGCCTGAGGCAAGGTTACAAGGAAATTGCATAAGCCATGCCAGGCCACCAGGACACGGCGGCGCCTTACAAGAGGCAAAATCCCGTTGAACAAGTGCAGCATCTGGTGCTCGTGATGCTCGGCTCCGCAATCGGGCCTTGCATGGCCCCAGGTGTGATCTGTTCTCTCACAAATGCGGACTGGGAACGGAACGTTGCGGTCAGGTCCACATCCGCCTCGGCGATAAAGCATCGACGGAAGTTAGGCTGCAAAACCACATGCGACATGCTGCGACATCTGCAATTAGCGGCATGCATGTTGGGAAGGCCTACACGGCTGAGCAAGGTCTGCTACGGCATGGTTGGATGCAGAAAGATACTACATGCACGAGGCTGAAATAATCTGCGATCATGACTTCGCAGACGCACTGCGGGGTGCGGGGAGTAACGGGAACCATAATGGAAAACAGTCCCGGAGATAGTAACGGAAACCGACCCGCGTAGAAACAGGAACTGCAACACGAGCATAACAGAAACTACGGCCGGAAAGCAAGGAACCGAAACCACATTGCAGGTCCTGTCTGGGGACGTATTTTCGGTCCGCTAGTTTATAAGGCCATGGAAGCCTTCTGCTCACGCATGTTTATTCAGGGCATCTAGAGTTTAGGGTTGAATAACATCCAGGCTTTGGGATATAGCACGGAAATAGCGCAATAGAAGCCCACCATGTAACCGCGCCGTGTCTGAAACTTGGCATTTCCAGTACTGAAGCTGTACCATAACCAAGCACAACCCAGCCAGGACCCTAGGTCTAAAGTCCTGTGAGTGGGGGAACCGGAAAACGGTCCCGAGTTTGGACGACAAAACGACATTCGGGGCAAGTCCCGCTGCCTGACCCCTGGTGCCTGTTACGAGGCCTGTTCCCGAGGCTGTTACGGCAACCGGGGGTTTCTGCTACGGAGTGGGACTTCGTTCTTGTTGAAGGTTCCTGTTACGGACAGCCTGCTTCCGTTGCGGCAATTACTCACACACTGTCAGGCATTTGCACCACAAGTTCTGACCCCGTTTACCTCCCTCAGTTTGTCCGCGGGCCGCTCCCCCTTCCTGTAGAGTAGACTGGGCGTGGTGCGGTTGTATTGAAGATGTGTAACGGTGCAGAACTCATGATGGCACAGACGCTCTGCAAACCGAGACGCGATCTTGCTGCCATGTTCGTTGATGTTCGTTGTCTCTCCACCCTTGTCTACCTGCAGTCGGTCTGCCTGCACACATTTATGTGTGGGTGCACGTTGCCGGCACGTGCACGTGTCAATTTACTTGCGTTCGATAAGCTGGAGCGCACACACAGACACACACACACGCACACACACACACACACACACACACACATCGTTTGATGTTGAAGACATAGCATAGCCCGTACAATGTGGAACAACAGCATCCAACTCGGTAGTCTGCCAGCCGGCGATGGCACAGCTCAAAGCTCACCGCGAAGACGGCGACAATGGCTGCCACAACCCACATGTACGGCTCCCAGAACTCGGACACTGACCTTCCAGGCTTCAACGCTCGGCAACCGGAGCGCGAGACGCGAGAGTAAGGACGAGGCATCTTGGAGACATCGAAGCCGAAGCTTCCTCCTTCCGACATCCGCGCGTCGCCAGAAGCTTTCGGATGCTACGGAGGCCTTCCCGGCTTGCGGCGTTCTGCGTTCCGTTTGTGGGGTGTTGGCCCTTCTTCCCGGGCTCGGCCCGCTCGGGCCGGCCCTCACCGGCAACTTGGAGGCGCTTCGCCTCGCACAGGCCGGGAGTGCATCTGAGTGCCACGGAGAAACCATTCCGCTGCCTCACCCCCACTGGAGATGCTGGCCTCTGACTCTGACTTTCGTCTAAAACTCACACTCGGCATGACAGATAAGGCTGCTGCGTTTGCTGGCGACTTGGTTCTGTTTGACTGCGGCTGAGACAGCAAGGAGATGGTCGCTCCCTGTGATCTGAAATTTGCACAAGTTGATACAACCAACTGGTGCTGCACACCCCTGCCTTGCCAGCAGAGCTGGCGCCTGCAAATCTCAATCTCAGTCTGCATTCCAAGGTAACAACTCGCTTTTTTTGGTCATGACGATCTGTCCTGGACTTCCGTGTGCTTGCAGCTTCAATGCATTGGCTCCGACGACCAGAACGAAGCCAAACAGGATGTTTCGGCCTCTCACAGCCAACCTACGAAGCCATCATTGCCGTGTGGACATGAGACTGAGCCCGCGGGGCGACCTCTGACAGCCACCATCCCGGAGTTCCCTATCGGGTCTGCATTGTCGACGGATGCCTTTGCTCTCCGCAAAGGGCTTGAGCCAGGCAGCGGCACACAGCGACGCGGATAGCGAAGTGATGCGAGGCGGATGCACTCTTGAAGATTTGATACTAGGACGGAACTCTCACTGTAAAGCCGCCGGGCCCGAGCACCTTCTGAGCAGCGGATGGACTCCGTGATGGCTGCCATGCGGTCGGGCACGCCTGGAGCATAGAGAGTCAATCTTTGCAGCCAACCCTCTTGCCGACGGCGGGTTCACAGACCTGAGGCATCCACGTCTTCGTGATGATGGCTGGTATTTTGGCAAGGGGTCCTGAACCAAGACAGCAACGCAGACCGCATGTTAACGGCAACACTGCACGGCTCCTCCGGCACCTGCAGTTGCCTGGTGGGCTGGGACCTTGCTTCACCACAAGTGCTTCCGGTGTTTCCTGTGTCACTGCACGCCTGGGCGGCTTTGCCGGCTCCACCTCCTGCTCCGGTGCCTTAAGAGCTCACGTGGATGGAGGCTCTGTGTGATTTATTTGTGCAGCATCGGTCGAAGGGAAACCCTCTGCCCTCTGCTGAGCACCTCGCCTGAGGGAGGCGCCAGATCCTCCTCAGCAGTCGCCCAAAACCGGCTTCGTCCTCAGCGCGCAGTCACGTCACATCTCCCGCCGCGAGTCGCTGAAAGCTCCCGGCTCCACGATAGAGGGCCGAAAGCACCACGTGAGCAGACGAGAAGCTCTCTTGATCCACATCCTGGCACAACAGGAAAAAATTGCTGACGGGCCCCGGGAGAAGGAAAACGATTGTCCTTCTTGGAGCCCCAGCGCCGCAGGAATTCGCGAAATGCCTTCTTCAAGAACGTCTGGAGCAGAGGCATGGCATGCAGCTTTGACAAGCCTCATCGGCGGAGACATGTCCAGCCTTGCACGGCGACAACAGATTGTCTAAGGCCTTTCTGCAGTCGCCGGCCGCCTTGACAGCGGGCAGCTCACGCGCAGCAAGGCGCCTTCGGGACCCCACGAGGCCCGTTTTAACACTCAAACTCACACACGGCGACGATGCATCGCTTCGGCGAGTACCAGTACTTGCCTGCGCAGCGCCTGGACCGCGAGGGTTCCACGGATGTCTCCTGCGGTGATCGCTTCTCATGGGTCTCTGTTGCCTTCGCACTGCAGATTTCACACCATCAAATAAATCATCATCGCAAACCTCCGAGGTCGAAGAAGATGTTTGAGACCTCCTGCGCCCGCGGCCCCCGCAACGGCCCATGGATTGCAGCGACCACGGCGTCTGCTGAAGGAGGTCCACGGGCTTCTGCCCCTTTGGCAGCCCTTCGAACGGCCGAGGCAACCTCTTTCAAGCATGCTCGGCTCAACGTTCAACGACACACGCAGCTAAGGCAGAAGACTGGCAGACGTCTGCTCAGCGCTCGACCTGCGCAGTGCTGAAGCTCGGCACGCCGAGCACTCGCAGTGCCGATTGGAGGCAGTTGGCATCCACCGTCTCCCGGTGCTGGAGGCCCAAGGCGGAAAGCAAGTGCGAGGCCCAAGCATCGCCGCAATGGCGACGCAGAGCGAGTAGCAGATCTGAGCCCGGGCGTTCCTTTATGGCCGTGGGTGTTTGCTTCGCGGACTTCGGGGCATCTTTGTCCCCAGGGGCCAAACGCTCCCGGCTTAGGCCAAGGCGCCTCTGCAGCTCGGACTCCAAGCCGACGGGCAGGGCCAAGCGCGCCCAGCCCTCCGAGCCCAGGGTAAGGAGCTGCTTGGGGGTCTCTAACCATTCTCGATGCAAGCGTGCCACGAGCTTGTCTGCCTCACTCACCGGTCGCCGCAAGGACACGCAAGCTTCCCGGACCAAGCTTCGAAGCGTCCGATCCGCGGGAGCTGGCCCATGTGGCCCGCCGGCGGGCACCTCTTGTACGGCCCCGGCCCGGCCCGCTGGGCCCGTGCCCGGGCGTGGGCCTTTCTTGTGTCGAAGATCCAGCTCGTCCACAGCAAGGGGCAGAGGCGTCGCGACGGATGAGTCCTCCGATGGCTCCCTTGCTTTGGCCTTGAGCCTGTCCCATGGTTTGAAGCGGTCCAAGCCGATGGCATCCTCGTGCAAGTCCCAGTCCATGGCTGGGTAGCTCGGCCGGGACACTGAACGATAGACAACACGTTGTCGATATTGAAATATTATTCGAGCTTGCTCGGCTTGCGTGATGGCACCCATCCTCCGTGCTTGTGACCCATCTTCGAGTCTTATGCCCTACAGCTTCTATCTATGCTGCCTGGAACCAGTCTTGAAGCCGAAATTACATATCTCGGAAATGCTCCGGCCGCCGGCATACTACGCTCGCGAAGAATATCAACTCCGTGGAGGAGCAAGGTGTTGGCAAAGTTTCCGTGGGCGAGTCTTGACTCAAAAAGCCTCCTCTTTGAGGCAGCGATTTGCCGTCAAGGAAAATCGCTTGGATTCGTAGGCTTCTGCCCCGAAGATGCATGAACGAGGTGACACGTAGTAAGTGCTACAAGCACATGGCCAGAACACCAACTCTGCTAACTGTGCGCAACCTTACAGACCTTGCGGCTGTGGCACAGCACAACCTTTCGGTGTGCAGTGGTGCCCCCTTAGTGCCATCTGACAGGCTGCGGGAGAAAGCGCTGAATTGGACCCGACGGCTCTCAGAGGTGTTCGGATACAGGTGAGACAGGCAGCGCTGCCAAAAACTATCCACTGCGTACAGTGCACAAAGAAGACAAGGTCACAAACAGCTCCTCCGACCTTCATGGTGTTCATCCTTGCACCTGCAGGCACAAGCAACATCAGAGGTTGCCACCCAATGAATCGCCGATTCTATGAATCCCCCGCCTCGGCGACGCCCTTGGCCTCGGCGCCCTCCTTCGCTTCCTCCGGCCGTGCTTCTGCGTCTCTGGCGGAATCCCGGGAGCTCTTTGAATTCTTGGAGTGCTTGGAGCCCTGCAGACGCACCTCCGCCGGGGGCACGACGGGGAGTGCCGGGGCCGGGGCCGGGGCGGTGGAAGAGGAGGCAAAGCTCTTCGCATGGGCGTCCAAAGCCTGGGCTGCCCTCGCATCGGGTAAGAAATCCTGCGCGTGGGCTCGCAGCGCCCCTGCTGTCAAGGCATCAGGTGAAAAGTTCTGCGCGTGCGCTCCGAGTGCCTTCGCTGCGAGTGCGGTGCGGGGGCTAACTGATCGACTCCTACCTGACGAGGAGTCTCCGGAACTGGAAGACGGCGAATGCAGACTGCTGTGGCTGCTGGAGCCGCCCTCCTGCAAGAAGCTCTGCTATGCGAAGAGACACGTTTTATTCCTAGCGGCCTAGCGGCTGCCATGCTAGAACCTTGACAGCTCAAGAATGGCAGACCGCACAAGTATGGCAGGCTTTGGGCTAGGTCAATGACGCAAGATGGCAAAGCGGCAAGACAAAGGATTCTGGCCGCTAGCCGGTCGAGTGCATCCCGAATGGCCGGCGGCAAGCAAGACAAGACGAACAGGTGCGCTCAGTGAACAGATTGCTCTCGCGTGACTCTTGCTCCCATAACCAATTTCACGACAGCATTACACAGATTGACATGCCCCGCTGTCCTCCGCATCTGAGCCCTCCGGGGTGGATGCTTCAGACCAGGACTTGTTGTCCTCATCCTCGTTCTTGGGATCATCCTCTCGTGGTGTGTCTGATATCTCCCACGAGCCGCTCTTCCGGGATGCCATCTTTTTCGGCGACTTTTTGGCCATGGCCAGGTAAGGGTTCTCTGAGGCCTTGACGGCCGCCACCTCGCGCAACGCACTACCATCCTTTGTCAAGATGGTGGGCGCCGCCTCCTGTGTTGCCGAGGTGCCCTCTTCAACCGGCACCTTCCCCTCCTCCTGCAGGGCCTCGGGTACAACCTTCCCTGCGTTCTGGATACGCCGGCGCTGGTACTTGAAAGTGAAGCGAACGGCCAAGACCATGGCAGCGAGCAGCAGTAGGAAGAGAACGGCATAGAACCAAATCGGAGGAGTCCAAGGCTCGGCTCCCGCCGCTCCCGCTGCGAAGGAAGTGGAGCGCTTTGGCGCCAGGACGAGATCCTCCTCCTCTTCGACAATTATGACGCCCTGGCGGCTGGTGGTTGGTATCAGGGGGATGGTGGTGGCAGTCTGTGTGTGAAGGGTGGTGCGAGTGGTTGGAGGGAAAGTTGATGTTTCGGGTGCTGAGCCGAAGATGGGTCGCAGACCGCTGCAGAGCCCATCTTCCGGCAGTTTGTACAAGACGTCCCGTGTGTCCGACAACAGCGGCCAGGGCGGTGTGCCGTCGGGAACATCAATCTCCAACAAGAGGCGAAGCACCGTACCCTCATCGATCTGAAGCAATCTTGCTGTCGTCCCATCTCGGGCAGTGAGAACCCAAAAGCCGTCCAACGGCAGCAAAGCAGCCGGAACTATCTCGGGTGCTTTCTCAGCTTGAATTTGGGCCAACGGCATGCAAGTGCCACGCTCGTGCCGCGTCACGAAAGGAAGGGTTCCTTCCTGGGGAGGCTCCACAGACGTGTCCGCTGCGTCGAAGGCACCTGACAACCTCTTCAAGCGGAGCTCCACGTGGGGCTGCGGAAAAGCTCCAGAAGGAGCTTCCCCGGTTTCTGCGCCAGCTTGCAAGGGATCCGGAAGCTGGGATGCTGGCAGTGAAATCAAGAAGGCCTTGGCGTCCGCATGCATCATCCAGTGATCCCGCAATGCCGGCGCCATAAGTCGTAGCATCGCACTGCCTGTCTGAACCAACCCAGCATAAGCGACCGGATGCAGATCGGAGCTGATGTCAATTCTGAGGTATGCCTGTGAACGCGTGGCAGCATGCAATTCCTGGTCACCGATGGCAGCCTCAAGCTTTGCGGCGGCTGCAGCCGAGGCTTCGAAAAGAGCCATGGCCGGACTACCCGCGGAATGCAAGCTCCAAGGGGACCAAGGCCGGCGCCAACTCCACGTCGCTGGGCCGGCACTGTAGCCGTCGTCACGCTGTCCCGAAACCCAAGCGGTTAAAAGCTCCAGGCGGCTCAGGCGACGCCGTGCCAACAAGGCTGCGGAGCGACGGCTCAGGTCGAGTGCTGAGCGCAGTTTGCGGAGCTCGTGCCAGTGCCAGGCTGCCTCGGGTCGGTCGCTACCCGCCGAACTACTCATGTTGGACCACTTGGACCACTGCAAGATCACTTCGATGTGCGATGCAATGTGTGTTGCCTGGGCAGATGCCGCTGCAGAAATGCTTGGCTCCTTCTGAATGTCCCGCACATCTATCACTTGCAGCAGCAGCTCCTCGAAAATCCGTATTCTGCCCCAGGCCATCTGCAGGATCTCAGTTGAGGCTCTCTTCAGCCGCAAGTCTTCGACGCGAGGATCGATCCACGGGCGCACTGCCTGCGGACCAAAACCGTCCCAAGCATCCTCCAGCGCCAACTCTTCCGAGACCTGTCGTGCCACAAAGGACAGGCACCAACCACGGTTGCCACAGCTTGCCGGCTGAGATATATTTGGCAAAGGCCCCGCAAAGAGCATGGAACCCTCTCGGGCATAGGGTTCCAACACCTCCTCCGTGAAGGCTGCGACTTGGTCAACAGCTCCATGCATGATCGGCAAGAGGCGACTCAGCGCTGAGGTTCCGAAGTCTGTTTGGTTCTCCAGCTCCAGTCGAAGCTCCTCTGCGAAGGAGAACCAGCTCTCGGCCACCTCCACGAAGGGCTCCCAGACTCGCTTGCGTGTGTCGGCGATCGGCACGGCCCCTGGCATTGACAGGCCGCCTCCCAGAGGGGGCATCATGTTAGGCGGCCAGGCTGCCGAATCCACTTGCACAAGCAAGCGCCACTCCAGGCCATGATACCAGGACTGGCCCCATGTCCCCAACATCATCAAGGCCATTGAGCCGATCCTCTGTAACACATCGATGCTCTTCTGCTCCTTCTCCACGAGGTCTGTAGCATTCACCAAGTCTTGGAGTTCTCTTCGGAGCTTCCAAGTTGCTGCCTGTGCCATCCGCACGACGCTAAAGCCGGCAGCCTCGGCACTTTCACCCAGGAGCTTGTCGATCTCCTGCAACTCCCGCAACTTGGGAGCCAAGAGCTGCACAGAGCTCGACACCTCGGACTGCCACTGAGCCCTCAAAGCCTCCGCCCCCGCTGCTGCCTGAAGGGCTTCACGCTTCAGCTCTTCCAGCAAAGCCTCGGCACTCTCCTCCGTGAAGTCCAGCAAGACCGGGCCAGTTGTCGTCGTGCTCGTGTCCGCTGTCGCATTGCTGCTACTGCTGCTGCTCGCATTGCTTCCGCTTGCATTGCTGCTTGCATTGCCCTGGCTTTCGTTCGCCTCATCCGAGGGCTCTTCGGTGGTATTCGGGGAACTGGGCCCAGTACCGTTGGAAGTGCTGTTCGAGAGCAGCCGCTCTGGTGCAGCAAACAAGGGCTGAACAAGGGACCGCCACACTGTCAGATTGGGAGGAATCAGCTGCACCATCACCTGATGTGCCAACATACATCAAACACTGCCGCCATCTCAGGCTAGTGCGAGGATGCCCACTAGGAACAAAAAATCACGAGCCGGCGTCGCCTCGTGGATTTGCTCCATGTCGAGAAGCCGCTCACCAGCCTGGGAGAAAGCCAAGAAAGGGAAGAGCTTCACGCCGCGGCACTTCCCGCGACACGCCCCCGCCCGCCACTGCAGACACACTCTCTTCAGCCAACCCTTTTTTCCTCTCTCTTCCTGCTTTGCCCTACTGTACCATTTTGTCGGGTGTGCGAATCATCTTGGAAATGCTCCCTCAACATCAAAAGAGTCGAAGAGCCTCGTGCAGTAGAATAGAAATACAAGCGACCGGCATGAGGGAACCCTCGTGAAATCATAAAGTCCGCCGGCCCACCAAAAGTGATGACCGACCGGTTCACTCGTCTCGTCTGGAAGGCTCGGCAGAAATGGGTCCCTGGCTTCCTTCACGGGGAAGGCGGCTCCCAGTGCGGCGATGTCGGCACTGCCGGAGGAGTGCAGCAACGCAAACGGCCTGAGTCGGAGAGGCGGTCTCGGATCCCAAAGAAACTTCCGAGTCTCCGCGCGATTGGTGCCCTGTATACAGCTTTAGCTCCACGCAACAAGCTGCGCTGACCAGCAGGCAAGCCCAATTGCAGCGCCTGGCACTCCGGAGATCTACGGCTCCACAACGGATCCCGACTCTTCGTCCCCGGCCTTGCTCCGTTCGCATGCTTCCCAGGTCCCTGAGAGACGGACTCACGGCCAGGCGCAGGCGGCCAGTAACATGTTGTGGCTGCGGCGTGGCTGTGGCGTCTGAGAGCCCAGCCCTCGATGTCACCACTGTGCGACGCACAGGTGTCGCTCAGCAAGGTATGGGCAGCCTGCAGGTGGAGCAGGGCACCGAGGGCACCAATACCCTGCAAGAGGCCCATGACAACTATGACAACCCTCATGCCGCATGCCTGCCAGCTGCCGGAGGAGATGTCGTCTGCAGCCACATCCACCGCAGCCTCGCATGCCAAGAGGGCTGCACTCTGGAGAGAAGGGCCCTCATGGCTCTCTGTTGGCATGGCTCTCTTCGTCTCCTGCAAGTCCAGGAGGTGGCCGGCCAAGCTGAGATCCTCGGAGTCGGCAAAAAGCGGAGCCACGGACGTGGCCGCGCAGCAGCTCCTCCGGCCAGCACCAAACCGCTCTGCAGCACCACGTCCGTCCGTGCCAGGAAAGCGCGCGCGCTTGCGCGGTCAGTCCCGCCAGCATCGAAGAAGAAGACCCTCAGGAAGTAGCCGGAAGCCTGGCATCGAAAGGATGCTCAGGCGGTTCCTATAAAGCTTCGAAGCGGAGGCCTCGGGCAGGCCGCTAGGCAGCTGGAGCCCTCTCTTCGTCAGCACCGCGTTCGGAGCGTCCAGAGAAGACTCCTGCCTTGGGCATTGCGTGGGCTCTGCTGCTCTGCTGCTCTGCGAGCTCTGCGCGCTCCAAACGACGGTGTCTCTGAGGCTCCGGCTCCAGCTCTGCGGAGAACCAGTCCCCGAGCTGGGCCACCTGTAACAAGTCGAACAACGGATCCCAGCGGATCGCAGTGGTGTACCACTGAGAGTCGCCTCTGCACCGGCGAAGTTGTCGATCTCGCGTCGATACAGCGCCAGCCGCCAGAATCCGGAGAGACAGAGGCTCGCCTCGGCCTCGCTCCGAACCCTTGTAGGCTTTAGAAGTGTCTGAAGTGTTGGCTGAGGCCTGAGCAGTGCAATTTCCGTATTCTGCATCAAGCTGCCGCAGAGACAAGCCATGCATTGTCCACCGGGCAGAGACGGATGCACCCTCGCAGCTTCGCTCGTCGCAAGACGTCTTAGAACAGAACAGCGCTGAAAGATCAATGCCTCGCAGAGTGCATCGGGGTCGGCTGCCGTCGGACATCTGGCAGCGCCCTTCAGGTTGTGCTTAACTCGTGTGTATGGCAGCCTGAGGCCTCCTGAGGCCTCCTATACGCCTCTTGCACACTCAAGAGCACAGGAATGGCCTGCAAGTTCAGCTGGGCGGCCATGCGCACCTTAACAACAGGCCATCCTCCCTTGAACCCTCCTGTGTCTTCGAATTGGAGGTCTATAGACGAAGTTCAACGGCTCCGCAGCAGAGGCGACTCTTTGAGACGCGGACGCACCTGCCGGTGGCAGCAGCGCCGCAACCCACACGAACCTGCTGCGTGGCACTGAAACACTCCCGTTGCCTTGTCAACGGTTGGAGGGCTCAGGCGAAGACCCACGGACCGGACACTTGGAAGCCGTCCGCACTCATCTCTGTTTCATCTTCCGAGCACGTCTCGCAGTCCAAACATGCGCCCTCGGTATTGGCTACCTGCACCAGGCACGCCGCGGGCACGCTGCCTGCTGCATACATGCTTGGAAACTGCCTCGTAGCGGCCCGTCCTGCAATCTGTGCACACCTTAGCCCGCCCAGCAGACACGAGCCGTCAGTGGAAGCAAGGGCTTGGGTGCGGGCACCAATCTGCTGTCCGCCACAGCCCCGGCGTTCGCCCTGAGCGGCCCACATCCACACGTTCTGCGGCCTAGGCCTACACGTCCAAAGAAGAGTCTGCTTGCCCAACCTGGATACACGTGAAGCAGGTGCGGCAAAATGGTGCTGCAAAGAAGCTGCCTCGGGCTTCGAACTTGCAGTCGGTCTCACTGTTTTGAAACCACGGTGTCCGTTCCGGCTCACTGGCAGCATCGCAGCACGAGGGCGGCACCCCCTACTATCTTCCTCACCCCCATTGCTCGGACTGGCATAGACTGAATGGACTGACGCTGCTCGACATTCATGACACAGAACCTGGTCACCTAAGCCACATGTCTGCTAAGGCTACCGAGCACCGCAGACACCACGAATAATAACAGCCAGTAGTCGAACGGAGCTTTGGGCCCTAGCCCTCACTCAGAAAAGCAAGAAGCCCAAGAAGCACACTGAAACAAGCTTGAGGTCCGGTTTACGTAAGCCACAGATCAGGAACATCCCACTCAAAACAGGTCGGACCAGGACTCGGAACCGCAAACGACCAGCGCTACACACTCCACTGCACAATGCATGATGCTGCATGATGTCTGATGCTCCAACTTGCACCCAAACATATGCCAACTTGCTTAGACATCTGCCTGGCTGCGGGTTTTGTAACGTTTTGTAGCGTCTCTTTAGCATAACCGAACTGCGTGCTAACGCCAAAGCAACCAACCTTCCCTGCAGGAAAGCTGCCCCCGACGCACGGTGAGCAATAACCCGGATCAGCCCCGCCTCGATTCACGATGGTTCAGAGGACACCAATGAGACTTGATGCAAACTTCTCATGCGCGCTCTTCAGGCCGACGCCACAGCCGACGCGCACATGCCCTCTCGGACAGCTCTCACATGCCTCCCATCAAATTTCGGGCCAAACATCGCAAAGAAAGGAAGCATAGCAAACCATGCAGTTCACGGAAGGTCTCCACCTGGCAGGTGTCCGTCCAAGCACCTTCTAGCCTGACAGACAAACACGCAAAGTGCCGTGGCCACAATCATAAGCAGTGACTCTGTATAGGCGCACACCCCGCGTGTCAAGATTTCGGAATCCCTTGAACTAACACAAGAACACCGCCTTCAAGGCGAAGATCCCGTCAAAAACCGAAACTCTGTGCAAACAGTGGTACCAGTTCCGGTCCCGTCCAACGACGACAAATGTGCCGGAAAGACCCTATGGTCTTGAACTCGCTGCCAGCTTCACATTCCACACACAGCCCGGCTGTTGCTGGACCACAGCCGCGGCGAATCCTGACGACTGCAGTGGTTGTTGCCCTGGCAGCACCGAGTCTCTTGGCGAGTTCCGGGCTTGCCAGCTTCGCAGGGCTGGCATTCCTCGCAACTGCTGCCAGGGCTTCCAGTCGGATTGAACCTCAAAAAGTCGCTTCAAGATGCAGACTTCATGCTGTGATGCTGTGCTGCCATGTGCTGCCGGGCCTGCCAGCTGCGCAGGTCTGGCAGACCCCAGCAAAGTAGGCATGACAGCCGACTATGACCTCCCAAGCATTCGAGTAATCTGTCGCAAACACTCGTAGGACGCGTGCACCAGCCTCACCGGGATAGCACGTTGCACAGCAGGAAGCATAGAAGAGCTTGCCGTCGATGATCCCATGAGTTGCCTTCCACAGAGGGCCCAGCATCTTCTTGACAGAAAACGCCTTTGCCCAGCTCTGCGCGCCTCGAAGCCTCGCAGGTATCCGTTGATGTTCCTTTGCTGGCGACAGCAGTGCAGCCTCAGAGGAACAGGGGGCCGTTCTTAGAGCCCTCTGCGAGCCGCAGATGACCCAGGCTCTCAGGTTCGCACTCGCGCCAGGCGGGGAAGACATCGTCGCTGTAGCAGGGGTTATTCCTTGATGGTGCAGGCTTGCAATTGCCGGGAATGGAGATGGCTCTGGGCTCCTGACTCCACAGCGTAATAGCCTGGATCACACTGTGCCTGGTACAGGCATTCGGTGGTGTAGCCTGGAAGCTTGAGATCACACATGAACAAGTGCCCACCTGTGCCCACGAAAGTGCCCACTCTGAGTTTTGGACAGCTGTCGTCTGAGATTTGATCAATGTCATGCACTGTAAAATAAGCCGTCTCGCCTGGCGTGTGTGGAATAAGTCCATCTGTGAAGAGGTGAAAGAAGAAACACACGTCAACAGCACCAGTTGACAGCGCCATGGACCACAGGCCATAGGCATCCGTCGCCAGCTGACCGGACAATTCTTGTGGTGGCGCATAGCCCGGGTGGCCGGCCACGCAGGCACCAATCCTAGGCAATCGGATCACTTCGCAGCAACCCATTTTTGATGTGAGGCAGCGGCCCCTCCAACCGCGGCTGCGTATACCTGGCTCAACGAGTGCCAGATTGAGAAGCTGTGCTCTAACCTGGGCTTCGCACCACATGCAATAGCCAGCATCATTGCTTTCAGCAATGCAGCTGGTGCAAGACCTCTGCGCTCACAGTTGAACCAGATCAAGCCAGAACAGCAAACTGTGTAGGTGAATCAACGAGGTCGGCACACATGCTTGAAACATGCGCCGCTGGCTTGATGCAGCAGAGCAAGTGGCAAGAGATTGCGAAGCATGCCTCCAGAAAGTGAGCGCTTGCTGCTGAGCTGAACAATTGCGATCCGGACGGAGAGGAGCGAAAGAACGCTGCCTCTTCGAGCTACTCGGTGTGGCAACAAACGATCTACGAGCTTCACATTGGAAGCTGACGGTCCTAACACCAGAAGGGGTTCATACTTGTCAAACAGCTGCATATGTACAGCGGACCAGTGGCATGGAATGTGCATGGATTCAGCATGGCTTGCTGTAACATCGCACGCGGCATCCTTTTCTTTGAGATTAGCCTCTCTCACAAACAGGCTTTCGGCATTCGGCATTAGCATAATGAAGCCTTCTGGCTCTGCGGAGCTTGATTGACAAGCACAGCGTAACTTCCAACGCCTGTCTCCATCTTAGAAACAAGCAGATTCTTGGGATCTGAGCAAGTTTGTCTGCTCCATGAGTCACCGCCACTCGACAACTCGGTCCTCGGAGCAGGTCGCTGCAGGCAGCTCTGATGAGAACAAGCAAGAGAACAAGCAATCTGTCCTGCAGCTTCCGATCTTTGCATCAATCCTGCCATGCCGACTCTTCACAATGCCTATATTGACACAAGCACACGCCCGCATACACTGGACCACGTCACAGAAGAAAACTGCAGCGGTCCCTTTCCGCAACCTGCATGAGCACACTGCGGACACACGCAGCTCGTTAACACCAGCTACGGAGCTGGCTTGCAAGGTAGCATGGCCACGTGGAGAGAGGCCAGGCTAGCTTCGTCCATTAACACAGGGAGCGCGAAATTGGCCGCACTGGGGATTGAGACTATGCTTGCTGGGCCCTTTGCCGATGTCGCACGCAGGAAGCGTGTGAGGGCAACAGAGTCGTACACAGGCGAGGACTGCTTGGCACAGTCCGTGATCCGCTCGCGCAGAGCCTTCATCTCTTTCCCCAGATCCTGCAAGCGCGCCTTCTGCGATTCTGGTGCGGCTTCTGGCTCCGGCTCGTCCAGAGTTGCAATCTTGGGCCGAGAATGCTCCTGCAACAAGCCCTCTCTAAAGGTTTGTAACTCCAGCCAGAGGTTGCCAACGTCTTCTTCCGAGTGTCCGGCAGCACCACCATTCTCCAGCAACCCGATGTCCCGCCACCGATGCTGCCTTGCTTGCAGCTCCCTGATCTCGGCAGATTGGCGAGCGACGGCTCGTCGCAATGCCAAGACATCCTCGGGCGAAACATCGTTGCAGTAGCGCCGCATGATCCGTCTTTCCAGCTCGTTCAGGCGATGATGAAGCTCTCGACATCTTGCTTTGGCCTCGGTCATGGTATCCTCCATCTGATTGCACTCTTCTGTTTGCCTGTGCAGTTCCTCCTCGAGGAGTTCGCAAGCCTGTGTTCCAGCCTTGGCTTGCTTTTGCATCTGTGCAACACTCGCGAGCATGAGAGCTCGCCTTTCAGATTGGATACGTGCTGCGCCAAACTGCTTCTCTGCTTGCTGCATTTCCTGTTTCGCTTTGGCCAAGCGGTCCCCGACCGTCTCAAGCGAAACCTGCACCTTCGAGAGGCCTTTCGTCGCCTGCTCGAGAGCAGGCTGTGCGGCCTCGCAGGTAGGCGAGTGCGCGACAAGCCCCTTCCCCGACGGATCTCTAAACATCCACAACTGATGGACATACCCCCCGGCACGTCTGAACGTATCTCCGGCTCCGGGTTCAGCTTCACCTCTCTCGGATCTATGCTTCTCGCAAACTCAACGTACTGAACCCGTCCGAAGGAACCACCAGCAAAACAAGACTGAAACCCTAAAAAAGTAAACTGTAGCCTGAACTCTCAAGCCCTGACCAAAGCGATGCAGCAATAACGTGGACAAGGAACTGCCGGCTTGGGCTGCGCACAAACCGGAACCGAAAAACAATTCGGACAACCAAACACCAGAAACATATTATGTTCAGAATACTCTAGCTGGAACAATCCTAAAGCCTCAAACCTTAACCCCTCAACCCTATACACCTTCCGCTATTGCTCGGTTATCCGGGGAATCTCCGGGAGAATGCCCACGCACCAGCCCCGCCCCCCGGCCCCCACCACCCACAACACCCCCAACTCACCCCCCTCCCCCGCCTCACAAAGCCCCAGCCCAACCCGTCCCCTTCCTTGGCTTCCTGTCTGAACAAACCCGGACAAACACAAAACCGCACTGCTAAACCCAAAAACCCAAAATCCAAACCGTACAGTAGCGCTCGATATGGCATGATATGAATCTCCATCCTGGGTTCCGAATCTCGGCCTGCTCGGCCACTTCCAGGCTGCTCCGCTTCCTCGACCGAGCCTTTTCCCATGGCCGTTCCTTCTTCTGAGCGCCGGCAACAGGCGCAGCTGCGAAAATCTCAGAGAGCAACTCCAGCTGCGTCTCAGCGTGGCTGAAAGTTCTCTGCATTGTGTCCATGTCCGACACAGGCTCGTGCTTTGAAAGAGGATGCAATGCAAGCGCTTGTCTTAGGAGACCGTCCAATAGCAACTGCGTCAGACTGGCGTGTTGAGCAGTTGTTTGATGGCGATGTTCACCGTCTTCCTCCAGCTCCTCGTCTTCGTCTTCATCTTCCTCGTCCGTGTCCTCGCTGTCGCGGCGTTTCGGATGTCGCTCTTCAGAAGGGCCAATCTCGAGAAGTTCTGCACCGTCCGGACACGCGGCTTGCAATCGATTGAACAAGCGGTTGGACTGGTCGTAGAGCTCTTGCCACCGCTTCCGCTGCGATCCGCCGGCATCTGCAGAGGCATAGAGGGCTGAAGCACAAGCCATTCGCAAGGCTTCCACGGCACAGCCAGCGCGTTGCCAGGAAGCAAACTGTAGATCCTTGAAGAGTGCCTTTTGCAGTGACAACAGCTGCGCCCCATGGGCCCTCAAGGCCGCGAGCACCTCCTCGGTTTCGGCTGCTTTGTCCAGACGGAAGATCCGCTGCAAGGCAGCCAGGGCCGCATCAAGGGAGGCCTCCCCAGCACAGCTGACGAAGGCAGCGTTGCGCACCAGCAGGCAGTACCTGAGCCCCCGTTCCCATCCCTTCTTTTTTGTGCTCTGGACATTCTGACATTCTCACCTCTCCACGTCAGTGGTGTACAAGCAGCCGAGGACTCCCAAGGCCTCGAATGGGAAACGCACTGGAGCAAGGCTACCGCTGAACGTTCCGGTGTTGCATCGTCTCGGCGCCAGGCAGCATAAGCCAGTTGCGTCGAAGCCAAGCTGATGGAACAAAGCCAATTCATCGATGCAGCATCCTGTCAGCTGTCCAGGTCCGGGAGTCGCAGCGCAAGTAAGTCGGAACCCTCCTTGCCTGGAGCACTGCCAGCGCTGCATCCGCGATAAAGTGCTCATGGATGCTACGACTCAGTATGCACGCCTCAAAGTAGAGCAGGGCAGCTGAGGCACAGCAGTGGACTTAAGCTTTTGCTTGACTACACTCCGCCGGCCGCCTTGCGGAAACAGCGATGGAGCGCGCAAAGTGAATGGAAGCTGACCCCAAGCTCTGCATCGTCTCGAACCTCAGCACTGCACATGAGATTCCGCCTTTGACTCTCCATGGCGTCCTCCGAACTTTGGGGCTTATCATCACCTGTCCTTTTCAAATCTGCATTCTGGGCTTAAACTGTGGGACGATCTGACGATGATCTGCGCACTTCTTTCGATGGTCTTCAGCGGGTCCATGCTTCTGTGCCACGATGTTCTTGTACTGATTCGTGGCACTGACTAGGTCGGACAAGGTCAGTGGGGCTATAGGCAGTTGAGCACCCAACTTGGCCAGGCAAGCAAGACATCCACGCTTCTGCATCAGCGATAGCTTCGCGACAGTTCACATGCACCTGCAGAGTGCGCTGGCAGCTCCAGCGATGAAAAGGAGGGACGCTCTGCATCGCTCTGCATCTGCTTTCCCGCCTCCAGCGTCTCTGCCTCAATCGCTGCTGGCGAGGCCGAGGCTGCCTTTGGGAGCTCAGACACTGCCTTTGGGGGGTTGTCTTGCGGCGGAAAGAGCGCTCCGGCGGCGCGGCTCCGAGGCAAAGGCGCCCGCCCCCGCCGCCTTTCCACTGGAGCGCAGCATCTGGAGCCGGGTCTCCAGCCTGGCCACCTGCACAAGCTCAAGATTGCACTACCAGTGGTGACCACACTCGCCCGGGCCCGAGCAACATCGAGGAACCTCCGCGCTTCTCGCGAGCCGCTGGCTTTGCATCTGCCTTCGAATCTTGCCTTGGGCTTCCGCGCTTCCGCAGACTATTTCAGAGCTCGGATGTGGGTTCTCTCCAAGGTGCAGAGCTGCAAAGCTAGCTGTTCCAACTGCTCCTCGCGGCCCTTGGGGCTGCGATGTGAACCGCTCTTGGAGTCGCAGTCACCGGAACCTCTCCGTTAGAAAGGAGCCCTGCCTGCAAGTTCTGCAGCTCTTCGCAAAGTTGGACTTCGAGGTCTTGCTCTGTCTGTCGAAGGCGATAGCTTTCTCTTACCACAGAGCAATTGGCTGTCGCCGGAACCGTCAAGCCTCAAGCATCTCGAGACCCGTTGTCTGCAAGGATCTTTGCTCCTTCCGAGCGGAGGGTTTGGCGTACTAGCACGATGGAAGACATTCGCCAGACCGAAAAAACAAGCCTCGACCAGCTTGGTTTTCGTGGCCAAGGCAGACGCCAAGCCGTCATTCTGCTGTGTCAGCTGCTCAACAGCTCGCTTCAGCATGGAAGCATCCTCTCAGACGGTTGACGTTTGATACGGCATGTCTGCTGCAACTTCCAAAAAACTCAAGTCCTCTGTCCCCGTGGACTTTGACTGTAGTTGCAGAGCTTGTTGCTGGGCACGTTCAAGGGCCTTGGCCAAGGCTGCTGTCACCCTGTCACAGCGTCTACTATCGGAATATCGTAAGCTCCGCTCTGCGGCCCGGTGCCTCAGTCGGACCACTTCGGCACGGTGAGCCTTGTAGTACTCCCAGAGAGCCTGACTGCACAAACGCTCGGATGCAGTGAGGCGGCCGCAGATGCCTCGGCGGCCTCGCGGTGCCACTCCACTTGAACCTCCCGCACGCTTTCCAGACACGGAGGACACGGGTCATTTTGCAATCACTTAGGACGAAGTCATGCCCTTCAAGCGTGCGGGAAAGCAAAGCGCAAGATCTTGTAACGAATGCATGCCATTCGCTGTAAGCCTGCTCAGTCCAGGCATCGTTGTCCGCGGCCCACTCCGTCGTGTCTTTCACTTCCTGCCAAAACGCTTGCCCATGTATCGCAATTCCCGGTGAAAAGTCCGACAGGCAAGGCATCACGCCGAAAGCTATCCCAGAACAGTTGACAGTTCGGCACCACGAGAGATTCTGACAGAGGTTTTGCATAGTGTTTCGGGACACGAGGAGCGGCTCTCTCTTGCGGCATCCGCAAAGCCGTGCACCCCATTCTTGCTCGAATGGCAGTGCGAGAATAGACAAGCAGTGTGGGTCTTTGCCCGGAGAAGCTGATGAGGGCTCAGCCCTCAAGGCACCTGCACTTCCTTGCGGTTTTCGGCATGCCCTAAGACGGCACTGGCCAAGAAGGTTGGCTGTCAGCTCTTCCCGACAGGTGCACGGAGATGCAAAAGGCTCGTGTGCTGGGCTTCGGCTGAGCATGATTTGGTCCTGGATCGATCCGGAAAGTCACTCAGCAGTGGAAACTTTACATCAGCGTTCAAGTCTTCTCATCTGCTGGGTTTCGACCGTGACAGATCTCAAAGCCTCAAAGCACTGAAACATGGCTGCACGTGTGAAGTCTTCTGATGCAAAGATTTCGACTCCCAGCTCCCGGAAATCTAAAGGCTCGAAATGGACCGCTCCTCTCTTGACTGCAACGACTCTGCAGATAGGGCTGTCGGACAGGCAGGGGCCAAAAGATCAACGCCGCAAGCAGGAGATGCATTGCAGATGAAAGAAACACGAATGGCTTGACAAATGATGATCAACAGGCACGCCTCCAACCTCAACGCTAGCTCCTCTGCCTCAATGTCCAGGAGTTCCTGTCTGACTGACGAAAGCTTGCTATATGATACCAGCGGCACAGCAGGAAACTCGGCCTTCTCCTTCAACTCCTTCGCAAGCTGCTCTTGCAAGCGCCTGGAGATCTTTCAAACACGGGGGCCCTTGCCCTTTTGGTCTCTCACAGGCACTGTGACTAGGCGGGCTGCTCGACGACCGCCCGCAAGCTTCCAGAGCCAGACGCCTCACAGAGAAATCCTAAAGCATGAAGCATACTGAGGACCGAGGCTCAACGGTTCACAACTGCCTCGGTCAGTTGTTGGGGATCGGGGATATCTGCACCATCGTCCTGCCCAGAGAACAGGACGACGGATCAGGGCCGTCAATTAGACTGTCGTGTCCTGACACTGACGCTGAAACCGATTCAACCAACGACACTACTGCTCTGCTTCAGATGGCACAGGCCGCGGCCTGTGGCAAGGCCGAGAGTGATTCTGCCTCCGCTGGCAAGTTGCGAATCCTTGACTCCACATTTCACGCTCCCGCGGCGCCTCAAAGGCCGCTCGCTCCTTTTCAAGCGTCCCTTGGTTCTTGGCAGCTTCCTCCGCCTGGGGACTGCTTGTGCTGCGAGCAGCTCAGAGCTTCAATAATAAGAAGGCGACAGGGCCACTGCCTGAAGACGGATCTCTGCGGCCTAGCAGGGCGAAGGGCAGCAAAAACCTCAGCAAGTCTCCTGTCTCCTTGCTGACTGCAGGTCTCTGCCTTTCTCTCCTGTGCGGCAGCAGCTGCTGCAGTGGCTGCTGCTGCCGCAGCTTTGGCCCTCTCCAGTTCCGCTTCAGCTTGCTCAGCTTGCTCCCTCGCACCTGGTCAGCCATGCTTGACAAGGCACACATCGGCGGGCAACTTCACAAGAGCAGCCTTGACTTTTGCTTTGGACTTCCTCCAAGTCAGCTGTAACTTTCGATAGCTTGGCCTTCGTGGTCACGTCTGATGTGGTTCAGACGATCTTTCTCAGAACTGTTCCGACTAGCCGCTGGCCTGTAAGTCTGCAGCTTCCTCTGCAAGCTGTGCCGTCAACTTTATCGCACGTGCCTTGGAGAGTGGACATACGATCTAAACTCAGAATTTGGAAATTGACAGCTCGCAAAGCAGCCTCTGCTTCTTTGGCAGCCTCTGCTGCAGCAAGCGCTTTCTCCGTCGTCGCAGATCTTGCTGGAGGATTGAAAGACTCCGTCCTCGGGAGCATGACGAGTGTTCAGTACTTTGAGGTTTCCGAATCTCGGCTGCGGCCAAGGAGCATTGCTTGCTGGGCCTGATGGGTACAGACACTGCGACGCTAAGCCACAAATTGGCCAGGATCCATCCCGCCTTCGTCAGGTCGACCGTGGTCTGGTTCGGCTGGGCGGCAGGAACAGCAGGGCGCGCAGCAGCGGAGGGCGCAGCAGGAGGTGGTGCTGCGGCAGCGGGAGCAGCAGGCTGCGCAGGCTGTGGAGCAGCAGCAGCAGCAGCAGCAGGCGCAGCGGCGGGTGCAGCAGAAGGCGCAGCAGCCTCTGTTGGTGGCTGAGCTGCCGGTTTGGATACCTCAGCACTGGCCTCACTCGCTTTGCTCACAACCGGCTCAGCCTGCGAGACCTGCGGAGTTGTAGTCTCTGGTGCTTTCACGGGCGCGGCTGGCGCGGGTGTGGTTGGCACGGGCCCAGCCGGCGGTGGCTCCTCCGGCTTAACGGCCGTTGTGGTCTCAGGCGCAGGCGGCGCTGCTGTTGCCGTCGCTTCAGCTTCGGGCTTCTCGGGCTTCTCGGACTCGGGCGACTCAGATTTCGCCTCCGTCACCTCGGGCTTCGGCTTCGCTTCAGCGGGAGCCGTTCTGGATTGGCGAGTCGGTGACGATGTGGGACTGGCGGCTTTGGCACTCGGACTCCCAGGTGATGAAGTGGATACTCTGCCAGTTGCCATCGGAGTGAGGGTGACTTGTGCCGGGCGGACGAAAATTCCATGATTCGGTGGACACGTGAAGTACACCACATCTTTGACCGTCCCATCATTCCTGCGCAAAAAATCTTACCAAACCTAACTGCTTTGTCTCTGCTGCGGCTGCATGGTTCCATGCACCCTGTCCTTCCAACTGGATCATCCAACTGGATTCCCACCCAAACTCCGCCAGCAAACTCTGTCTGGCCACAGAAGCGGACCTACAAGCATCGGTGCCGAAACATAGCGACGGGCGACGGCATCTCCAATCAGTGCAGAGCACAATAAGGCCAGAACGGTCCCGGCACGGTTGCTGACGAAAACCCGCTGACCAACTGAGAAGTTTGCGCCTGGAAGCAATGCAATATAGTAGACAGTAGAGTTTCAACCAGGCCAATGGGGCCAATTGCCGGCTTGTCTGCCTGGAGGTGCGCCCTCCATGGCGCTAGCAGAGAGGATCCATGTCTTGATTGCTCATGACGCGTCCACGTGAGGCTCTACTCCTGGCGTCTCACCTTCAGAGAGCCAGAAGCTTGGCGGACGGCTGACCGAGGCAGGTGCTAACAGTCAAGAGGTGTCAAGAAGCTCTGTGGAGGAAGGACAGGGCAGATGGGTCAGCCTCGATGGAGTCTCGATCACGGCCCCCACGGAGAGCCTGGATGGATCGCGGATCGCCCTTCAGTTCCCAGGAAGTCACGGAGTGTTCTGGGCTCCACACCTCGCCCAGCCGCGAGCTTGCAGGGCTGCCTCTCGGGGGTGGGCAACAGGGAACGGGCGTCGCGGCGTAGCGGCGTGGCGAGCCTGAGGCCGGCTGAGTGACGACACTTCTTCGCGACTTCAGCTGGCTCAACTCCTCCGGCGGGGAGAGCTCAATCGCTAAAAGCGCCAAAAGGCCGCAAAAAAGCATCGCAGCCACTACCAGCTACCAGCCGCTATAGCAGCTATGGTCCTCGCAGATGCGGCCGACCGCTTCGGCCATGGAGTCCAAACCCAGCTCACTGCTTTGCACCTGCCCGCAGTCCACCCCAAACCCCTCAGCCCGATGCGGCGCAGCCGAGCGTGCCCGCTGCCACAACGAAGTCAAATCTTCGCTCATCTCTGTCAGCTCCTGCAATGCGCAGACTGTCCGTGCGGTACAACCGAGTCCTTCATCATGCTGAGACTCCTCACGCATTTCCCGGGCGTCTTCGGAGAAATCTTGTGCATTGACGGCCTGCCACGTCGAGCTCGTTGACACATGGCAAGAACAGCTGCGGCACGACGCGCAACCCCGGCAAAGCGGGCAAGCGAAACTCTCTGAGCACGGAGAGCCAGGCGCAAGGCCCTTTCCCCAACGCTATCTACTTGAAGGCGAGCTTCTTGCGTCTGCACAAGGTCCTTCCAGACTGGGTGGTGTTTGGACAGAAGCATCTGTAGCCTGAAGCGTCGCCCGTGTCCTGGATCTCAGAACCGAAGGTCTGCATGCGAGCATCTAATTCTGCAACCTGGCGATGTTTCTCCCATCCGAGTTGGACTTCACTAAGTCTCTGCCGCACCTGATCCTCCAGCATTGATGTGTGTTCCTCCGCTCAAATCTCACAGTGCAGGGGAGGGAATGGAAAGCTTCCCCAGTTTCCCCATTTCAGTACGGTCTGTCCTCCACCTCGTTACGGAGCAAATCCATTTGCACACAAACCTCCCAAGGCAGCCCGAAGCGGACCCTCAATGCAGCAACTGTCTCTCGCATGGACAGGCAAGAACCCTTTGACCTGCTGGCATGTTTCCGCCAGCCCGCTGGGTTCCTGTCAAAGTCAAAGTCAAATGGTTTCCTGCAATCACCGCATGCCCCTTGGGCCCCTTGGCTCATGTGAGGCGATGCCCTGTCCTGAGGATCCTCGACATGTTGCACCCGCAGAGCGAGTTGCTCCATGGCCTCGTGGATGCCTCATCACAGGTTCAACTAGGGTCTCACTGCCGACAGCCTGGAAACCGCCTTGTAAGCTCGGCCCCAGAACCTGGAAGCACGAGCGGCAAAAACACAGCCGACAACTTCGTATCTGCGACGGACCTGCGATGTGTGCTCCGAAACGTGCGGAGCCCCGCGCTCCACCTGCGCCAGCCTTCATACAAACCGGCAGCTTTGGGGTGCTCATGCCTCCCTCCAGTGCCTGCCGACCAACTGCAACAATTTCGAGTCCAAGTCTGCAACCTGAGCCGTCCTGGGGTGTCAGTGGCAGTCCATCGCATGCCGCGTGCCATGTATGGGCCATCAGAAGTAGACCATAAGCAAACAATAACCTACTCATGTCAAGATTCACTTTGTCCGACTGAGATTGTAGATCAATGAACTTGCCACGTGACTCCTGCAGAGATCACATCCACTGTTGCGAACTCATGACAACCTTGTGTCCTCCATCTGCTGCAGCTTCACTTCCAGGATATCGAAGCGCTTCCAAACCGCAGTGTCCTGCAAAAGGCTTGGGCCGTTGGGGTGGTCAGAGTGCAGCTGACGACGTGCGATTCGAGGCTCGCACCGTTCCAACTCTGTTTCCGGTGGCCTCACTGGCATTTGGCGGTGGGCTGCCTTGCGGAAGCTGGCCCCTGACAGGCAGGACACAAAGTACAACTGCGTGCTTCGATTCTTCCCGCCAACTGCCTGATCAGGCTTTGCACTGCATCCGCCAGGCCATCGACCTCCAATCCCACGGGCCAACACTGCTTACCAGGTCCGCTCTGAATTTTAAAACCGCGATCCTCTGAGCTGTGTCGTGGCGTGGGGTGGCACGCATGCATGTGCGGGGTTAATCCTAGGATGCAAGGGAAGACATCAGTAGGACGGCCCCCTTGAACTTATCCAGACACGCTCAATTGCCGGTGACGATATGGCGCCCCTTGCGTTCTGCTCGGCGGTGGCCCGATGTCCATGCTTATTGCACTGACACGTCATCCTGGAAAGGATGTCCACTGCAAGCAGCCGTTGACCGAGGGCCTTCTGGAATTTCAGTAAATTCTCGACACTGTCGACACTCAAAACCCCTCGCGCTGCCAAACGAGGAGAAGAGGCTCTTTGATGCGTCGCCCCCTTCATCTCCCTTCCTTCCTCCATCCCGGTCAGTAGGCTCCCGCACGTGGCCCTGCAGCTCGGCCCATCTCCCTGATGCCGCACTCGTGCAAGCCACCTGCAGCCGAGGCCGAGGCACTGCAAGGCTCTCGGAGGGCCGCGCCGCTCTGGCTCTGTGTGCCTCCTCGACACGCTTCTCCAACTTCTCCAGCTTCCGCTCCATCTGCCGCCTCTCCACCTCCCCAAGAATCTCCCGACATCTCCCGACTCCGGAAGACCCTCCCTGGAGCTGAAGCCTCCAGCTGCTGCTCCAGACGTCTAATGGCCAATGGAACTGCCGAGCGCTCAGTTCGAGCTGCATCATCCAGTTCCTGCGTTTTGCGAGATGCTTCTGCTCTCTGCGAGCCGGGTCGAACGCATTCCTTGTGGCGAAGCTTTTCCACTGGATGTGCCTCGAGTACCATGGAACTACGTCAAAGGCGCTCTCAACGAGTCTCTTGCGTGCCTCAGAGTGTTCTGCGGCCGCTGCGCACAGTGCAGCAGCCTTGGTGTCTGGTTCCGGCACGAAGTGCAAGGTGTCGGAAACTCTCAGACCAAGTCGCCAAGGCCGCCCCAGGCCTCCTTCAAAACGAAACTTACTGCAACAAACGAATAAACTCGTGCGGAGGACGTCGAAAGAAAACAAAGCCTGGGTTGATCCCCTGCACGGGTCACCATGATGCCGCTGTCACGCTTGCCTAGCCTGAACTCGGAAAGATGCTTCAGCAAAGCAGTCTGTAACCAGTTGCTAGAGGACCGTCCGTGTGTTCGCATCAACATTCCGGAACACATAATACGAGTAGTAGGGTGAGCGTCAAGCAGCTGCAGTGCTACACTTCCAGCAACTCGTGTGTGGAAGGTGGGCGCTCAAGTCTTGTTCAGTGGCTGTGTTGCAGAGAGCCGGGCAATATTGCTGCTGAGACAGATGCTGCTCCACGCCAGGCAGGTTGCAAGGCAGGTCACAGCTCCATGCTACAGCAAAATCATGACCAAGTCTCAGCGAAAGAGTACCCTTTTTGCTGGCCCCTGCTGTACTGTCACGGTGCATGACTATCTTGGCCAGCAGGTGGAGTTGAACGATGGCCACCGTTTTTCAGAGAATAAGTTTCCGCCAAACTCAGCATCATCCTAGAGGCTTGCACATTTGCATGTCTACAGCTGAACCACTGACTCCGAAAGCTGTAGAGCCCCGAAGTCTTCAACAGACAGACAAGGACGGAAAGTGTATGAGAACAGTGGCGCCTGAACGTGGCATGCGCAGAAACATGATCTCCACAGCAAAACATGCAGAAGCATCGGCTTCACGATCCACTACCGCATGTAGGACAACACGATTGCGGAGATCCTTGCAAAAACTTGGGAACCTTGCACTTGTTTGGCACAACCTGCCTGCCAAATGCGTTCCTTTAAGCTGCAACTCCCATGGGGGTCCCACTCTGGCATTGCTTCCGAGATCATGACTGCAGAGGTGCTTCGTCGTTAGCCTCTTGCCCTTGGAGGAGCCGTCCCATGTCCAGTCGCTTCTGACCAAATTTGGAGAATCCAAGCATGGCATGAAACGGACACGAGTCTGCCACGCTACGGAAGCAGAGCAGTCATGCTCTATCTGGCCTGTCACATCATCGAAGCAGAAACGGCCCGGCCACCTTGCGACATCTTGTGCCCGGTCAGCATTTCGATGGTGCCGAAGCATGTAAAGGCCAACGGGAAACGTGTACATTCCTGTGCTAGCACCTGTTCTGGGACAGAAAGGTCTCGGCCTTCAAATGCGATACATTGTGCACAGAGACATCTCCGGGGTTCAATGAGCTCGCGATTTGCACAACACGATCGTCCCGACTATCTCAATGTCAGAGTCCGTTCGCCGGCCCAATCAGGCCGGGCAAGGAAAAGATGGCTTAGTCTAGTCTAGCGGCTATAGCGGCTGGCGCTTCGGGCTTCGGGACGATCGTAGATTAAAAGTGCACATTGCCCCAGAGAAACGAAATGTTGGCCAGGCCGCCAGGGCTGTCGAATCTAGGGGAGGCAGCTGACTCCAGGCAGCAGAAGGCTCGAACACAGATGATTGGGATTGTCTCCATCAATCGGATGAGTGCCTCCGCACGAGGCCGTCTTCGACAGGCCAGGTATACATCCTGGACGAGGGCAGCCAACACACAGGAGCCGTGCCCTTGTCAGAATGTTCAAGAGAGCCATGCATATGGTACAGCCGTTGTCGTTGTAGACAAGGCTATTGCAGTCCTCTATCTACAAAGGGATGGCGCTCTGCCGGGCTTCGGGAACAGAAGCAAGGCATAGCGGCTTGGCCCAAGCAGCACAGTGCAGATAAATTCTTGTCAGTGTGCGGCTTCTTAGCGATCCA